TTTCATCCACCTGGCACGTGGGACAAGACCAGCTTTCCTAGAGTAGCTCCCTAAGACAGAAAAAGGGCAGTTGGGACGAATTCTGTAGTCAAATGAGCTTGGAAGTACCGGGCGGGTGACTGCTCAGAGTTTTAATGATGTCACTGTTAGCTGGGAATGTTGTCCTTTCCAAACATACTACACCACTCAGTTCCACCTTTGAAAATGAACGTTCTTCAGGGTAATGCTTTGGAAGATGTTCTCTGACACTGTGCTCAAAGTGGTCTGAGAACCAGAGCGATCGACTTCAGTTGGCTTTCCGGAGGTGTAACATCTTGGGGCCTTTCCAGACCTATTGATCTGGAGCCTATGATTCATGTGTGAGGGCCTCCAAGGCATCAGACAGAATGGGTGTTGTTGTCACAATAACGTCCAAACCCTTCGTGACCTGGGTTCACCTACCCCACTAGCTCTGTTTATTAGCCACAGTGCACTGAGGTAGCCTCTGATGGGAAGTCCTAGAGGACACACCACAGACTCACTGAGTCACAGCCCCTAGGACTAGGGCCCGAAGTTTGAGGCCAAGGCTTTCTGTGAACCCTAATCCTCTTTCATTTACTGTCTAACTGCTGGAATGACAAGTGCCCAGTGTGAATGTGCACTTATGTGTGTGTCCTCAGCCTCCCAAGAACTGGAATTGTAGGCATATGCCACCATAACTGGCTTGGAATGTGTTTTTTTTTAAATCTATTTATTTCATGTGTGTATGTGTATGCCTATGCTATGGCACACATTAGAAAGACCAGACAACCTGTGAGAGTAGGTTCTCTCTTTTTGTGAGTTGTCAGGCTTGGCAGCAAGTGCCTTAACCTGCTGAGCAGTTGCCGGCCCAAGAGTGTGTACTCTTTTTTTTTAAATGTTTATTTACTTATTTAATTATTACGTAGACACTGTTCTGCTTGCATGCAAGAAGAGGGCACCAGATTTCATTATGGGTGTCTGTGAGCCACCATGTGGTTGCTGGGAATTGAACTCAGGACCTCTGGAAGAACAGTCAGTGCTCTTAACTGCTGAGCCATCTCTCCAGCCCCAAGAATGCGCATTTTTAAAAAACTCCTCAGTTAAGTATGGTGGTACATGCCTTTAATCTCAGCAGTCAGGAGGCAGAGGCAGGCTGATCCCTAAGTTCAAGGCCAGCCTGGTGTACAGAACGAGTTCTAGGCCAGACAGGGCTACACAGAGAAACCCTGTCTTGAAAAACAAAACAGAACAAAACAAAAACTCTCCAGCCAGGTGTGGTGGTGCATGCCTTTAATCCTGGCCCTAGAAGGCAAAGACAGGCAAATCTCTATGAGCTCGAGGTCAGCCTGGTCTATAGAGTGAGTTCCAGGACAGCCAGTAAGATCTAGTATGAAATAACTCCAAAATAAGTACACAAATACAAAACACACACACACACACACACACACACACACACACACACTGTGCTTGGTTGTTACATAGCCGGGATGACTCCCCCCCAGACACCTGCTTTCTAGTTAGAAAGACCTAACACTTGACTAAGGTCCCTCCGTGAGCACCAAGCACTTGGGCCACTGTTCCAGTAAAGTCTCATTTTTTCTCTCTCTGACATGGGGATAATAAAGCACCTTAGGGCTGTCTCAGAACTAGATCTAGTTGTCACTTGGTAGCAGCTACTTATTTGCTAGGATTCTAATTTGAGATTTCCCCCGGGGTGGGGATGGAGGTTGGGGTAGAAGGGTTGCCCCAAGGCCCGCCATTCCTAATGGCCACTGTGGTCGTGCAGCTGGCTGCACATCTGTACCGCCATCTGTGTCCCTCCCAATCCTGGCACCCCTGGCTGAGGAGGAAGAAAGGAGAGCTGGGAACAGGCAGATCACATACCTGGTTGTTTTTCCCTTTCTGCCGACACTTGCTTTGCATCTCTGGGGAGGCCTCCCAGTGGATCTGGTGAGAAGGAAGGGAACAGACTGCAATACTGACCTCAATATCCAGTACCCAGAGAATCCCACAGTGGGGCTCCAGAGGACAGGGGAAACTGGAGTGGAGTCTCCGGGTGACTGAGATCCCAGGGTGATGGAGACCTTATGGTTGGTCCAGGTGCCAGGGGCTGACCTCTTTGTGAGCACCATCTCCTATGTCACGGGCGCTGAGAGAGAACAGGGCACCCCGAGCTCCCACCAGCAGCCGTTCTGAAGCCTCCTCCAGCAGGAGGGTTGAATAGTTCTGGGCTTGGCCCCTGAAGTGCCGGATCCGGGAGAGTTCTGGGAACAAGAGAGGCAGGGAGGTGTCTGGGGGGCTACTTCCTGCCCCCAGCTCTGGCAGCCATCGCCTTTCAAGGTTGGGGATCTAACCTTCATAGGAGATGGTCATCCGTGGGGTGGCATCTAGCTCTCGGGGGGGTCTCCGCAGCGAGGGTCCAGGGACAGCTGTTACTGTGAGGAAACTGAAGAGGAGGGGCCAGAGCCTCCCCCACATCTTCCTGGGGGAAGTTCAGAGCCACGAGACCCCAAAGGCAGCCAGGGCCAGAGTCACAAGACGGGAGGGGAAGAGCAATCTCTGGGGTCAAAGTCCGGGTAGTGATCACATGGAAGGTCAGGGGTCAGGAGGCCATGGGGATCAAGTAGTCATAGGGCCATGGAGGATCCTGAAATGGGGGGGACATGGAGCCACAAGGTTGTGTGGCCATGGAATCACAGCTCAGAAGTCAGAGGGAGGGATGGGTCACGTGCCTTTCTGCCTCAAATGCAAATTCCATGGAGAGCGGGCCTTGGAGGGTCCCAGCAGGGTTGTAGGCTACTGAAGGGGTCACCTTGCCCCCAAACAAGGGTGTGTGTGTGGGGGGGGAGTTTCAGTTCTCTCTCTGTTTTCTGAAGGAGAAAAAGAAACAAAAGAAAACAAAAAATCAAAATCCCTCCAAAATGGGAAACTCTTTGCTCTGTGTGTGGGTGGCAGACGGATGGCATGACTAGACTTCAGGGGGCACTGAAGGACAGAGGCCCAACATCCACAGAACTCCCCCATCAGGACAGACTCACAGGCATTCCGCCCATCTCTGCCCTGGTAAAGAAGGCTGTGGTGAACGTACCGCCTTTATAAGACCCTACACCAGCTTTAACCCACACCCATGGAAACACTCTTGCCCAGTCAGACAATGGGACCATTTCGGTAGAGCATTGGTTCTCAGACAGGCCTATCCCCCTGTAGCGCTGCCTGCGGGGGTGCCTTCTGCAGGAGGCCTGGGCAGTCGGTTAATGGGCCTTTGTTAATTTTGTCCTGTTACCCCTTTGTTTTTTCTTTCCCATTGGCCTGAGAGCTCCCTTTGGAATTTCTCTTTAATTAGACACTTCTCTTTGGCATTTTTCTCTGAGGGGGTGCACATCTCTGTCCTGCCCATGCGAGTCCATACTGCACCCTCTGGCTGGGCATCCACACGAGTCCCTACCTGCTAGACCTAACTGTGGGCAGGTAGCACCAGTGTGAGGGGGTGGGAGTGAGGTGCGTGAATCTGGGTCCCTGAGCTGCACAAGTGTAATGTCTGTGCAAGAGAGGGCAGCATGTGCAAGACCAGTTAAGACCTAGACAACAACGTGGGGATAGTGAAAATGGGACCCTGAAATCCTGGCCACCTTTAGTCTTGCAGCTGAGGTGGAGGTGGGTGGTAGGCCTCACCCTTATCTCTGGTGAACTTTCAAAGATTTCCTGGGCTGGACAAGGTGTGGAAGACGCCTGATCCACCCAAAGTCATCAGACACCCATAGGCAGGGTCAGAGGGTGTCACCGTGCTCTCCTTTTCCTTCTGGGTCAAATATTAACTCTCTGGCCTTAAAGAGGGGAGGGATCTGGAGCTGGTGAGAGGAATTTGGAGAGTCTGTTCAAGAGTTAAAAGTTAGAACTGTATGAGAGGGAGCAAAGAGAGCCTCTGCACCACAGAGAGTGAGCGCCTCAAGTTCTCGTTTTGGGGGCTGGGGCCACGGGAGGTTCCAGGCTGCCTGAGCTCCACCTGACTGTGAGGGCACACCTGTTTACATTTGGGGCCTCCTATTTGCTCAGCACAGAAGGGGGAGCCCTATGGGCTGGCTGAAGCCAGTGCCCAAGGACAGGGCAGGAAGAACAGATCCTAGATCAGAGGACCCACTTGGTGCACAGTGCACAACCCAGGTGTGCATTTATTTTGGGTCATGTGGGTCCCAAAGAATGTGACACACTTGCACACAGGTGTGCACGCATGTTTAAGTAGGGCAGAGAGCACAGGTACTTACAAGAGTCATGCGCACACACCCCCAGAGGCTTAGCAAAAGTATGCTCACACAAAGGGCCAAGGCCACACAGCAACAATACACACAAGGTTGTGCCCACACGCCATCCAGTCAGTGGTTCACATATCCTCCCTGGTGCACAAGCAGGACACATACATTGCTTCCTATTCAACAGGAGTTCCTTGTCCACACACATTTGTACGGGGCATGCACACAAAATAGTCGATAGTGGGCCAGGCACAGCACACACATGTATTCAGAGACCTCAAACACAATTACATCAGGCAGAGACAGACACTCGTGGTGAAGTGCATAGAGGGTCCGGCTTTTGCTGAGATGCACAGCAGAATCCCGTCCCCTTTCCTGAAAGTCTTGGTCTTGGTCCTAAGGCCAGTTCTCTCCCTCTCCGTGTGTGTGTGTGTGTGTGTGTGTGTTAGGGTGAGGGGCTTCTGACCTGGGGTGAGTGCTTGAAAGGGAGAATGGGTAACTAACCTGGAGAGGAGGCCCTCAGATTTAGCCAAGGGAAGATGGAATGCTACCTCACCAGCCCCCTTTCCCCTTATGGACAGCATCTACATCTGGGGAGCTGGGCTGAAGCTTTCAGCCCCCACTTAACCTGTTGGGAGGGCCGGGTTAAGGGGCAGGGGGTGGAGCATGCCACCCCTCCCCCAGCGGTAAGAGGGTTCAAGGTCTCCAGTTCACACCCCACACTTCATTCCAAGTTTGGGTTCCTTCCCAGGGCCTACCTGCTGAACTCTGATCATCTTCACTTGGATCCTAGGGTGGAGAAAACTGGGGAGGGTTCCCCCCAGCAATAAGCTCAATAGACTCTCGACCTTCATCCCTGATGTCCACCTGCCTGGGGTTAGCGGTATTTCCCTCTGTCCAGTAGGATGGCGGTCTCTCCTGGCTTGAGGGCACCTCTCCCTCGCTTTCCCCTCCCTCCACCATCCTGGACAGTCCGCGGTTCTCTCCTCTGATCAGATCTAACCTCAGTATCTACTGCTGCAGCTCGAGGACAAGCTCTCCTTCGATCCCGCTGGACGCCAGGAGACATGACCCAGATGCAGGGGAACATTGTTCTCCACGCGGGTCTCTGCCCCGCTGCGATCCCCGACTCCGCGAAGGCGGGTCTGCGCCCTGTGCGACCCGAGGCCTGGTCCGCACCCCTCTAGAACCTTTTATGCGGGACCGGGGGTCTCGGCGGTGAGAAAGGCCTGGCCTATCTTGGAGGGTGGAATGGACGAGGACAAGGCTTTGCCCGGCCGCGGCCCCCCGCCCTGCCACCGCCCGCACTCCCTGCTTCTCTCACCTTTGCGCTGGGATCCGGGGCCATAGAGACGGCGATGTGTGGTTCCGCGGCCCCACAGCACCAGCTGCGGGAGGAAGGGGCCGCGGCCGGAGCGAGGCGGAGTGGAGGCGGAGCCGGGGGTGGGGCGGGGGCCGGAGGCGGGCCGGAGGCGGGGGCGGGGAAGGGCGCCTGCCCTCTTTCGCGCCCCCCCACCACGCACAATAGATACGATTTGTGGGAGACGCTCGAGGCCCACGGCTCCTAGTATCCCCTTTCTTCCAGGCTTAGTCGTTTTGGGTACCGCCCGCACTTGGTACTGGTGGTGGGGATGCTTATCACTGCGTGCGCCCTAAAACAGGCTGATCCTGCCAATCTGCCCTGGTCCTAAGACCCCTCCCATTTACCTATTGCAGGGACTCGTAAACCTCGGGTCCCTGAATGCTGTACTCTGCTCTCTAACCTGCACCTCACTTCTTGCAAAACATGTTTACCATGCTCTCTTGTCTTTGGCTTAGGGTACCGGTGTGCAGATGGGGACTATAGTAAGGACATCAGGCTTCTGCGCAGCTCTTGGTTCCCAGTTCAAGGTGCGTGGCTCCCCCTCCCCTTCCCTGCCAGGCTGATCAGCTTGAGGTCTGAGTGGGTGAGATGGGGGCCTGGAAGGATGAAGGGACAGCACTCAGTATATGCTTTTTATGCAAAAAATAACCCACAACCATGCATAAGGATTCACTCAACAAATTTTAGCCCAAACCTAGGCTCACCTCAGAAATGGTGTTTGTCATTTTCCATCGCCATTCTTAACTCCAAACTTTCAGTCTTTCCAGTCAACTAAACAACTTGCGCTTACCAGCATCAGTCTCCTCCCCCAACTCCTTTAGGGTGCTCTTCCCTGCAGATTCAGGCTCTCCTCCTTCCCAGGGCTTATTAGAGTGAATCCAAGGCTGGGGTTCTGCCTCAAGGGTACAGTGCTTGCCTAGCATGCAGGACTGACACCCTGGTTCCACCCCCAGCACTACAGAAACACAAAAACAAAATCAACAGTGATATTAACCTTAAATGCTAGTGAAACCTGAGCTCTGGCTATGAACCCTACACCTCCTCCCCAAATCCATGACAACATTATGATGGGCAAAGAGCATGAAAAATAAGCCTAAAGACTCTTTCTTGCATGTACCTAGATGTTTGAGTACGCTTCTAGTGGCATATGAAACTGATGAGTGCCTAAGAGGAAACTTCATTCCTCTTCCAGGATTCCCCAAAGCTCATACAGTTTGGCACCCAATCCATAAAATCTCAGTCTGGACTGTGTGTGACTGCAGACTGCTAGACAGAAGGGCCCAGATCACACTTCCACCCCGTCAGAATGTCTCCTGGCACTCTGCAAACAGGACACTTACTGTGTGTGGGTGCAGCGGGGGAGACTTGGAGATACGCTTATATTCGAAAGAGCACACACTTTAAAACATTTCTTATGTTTACTTTGTGTATGCATGCATGCATGCATGTCACCACCCATGTGTAGTAGTCCAGAGGATAAACTGCAGGCAGTCTGTTCTCTGTCCACCATGTGGGGCTGGGTATCAAGCTCAGAGGTTGCCAGGCTTGGTAACAGACCCCTTTTATCTGCTGGGCCATCTTGCCTGCCCAAGCCAAGCCCATGCTTTACAGACTGCCCTGATTCCCTTCTTTTTCTGTATCCCCATCCCATTGTGAGGAGTCAGTAGCTTCGTTTTATAGCTGGGAAAACAGGTTTGAAGCGGATTGTAACTTGCCTCAAAATATGTTGAGCTGATGGAGGACAGGATTGGAGGAGTCTGAGAAGGGTTAGCCAGGCAAGCCTGGGGAAAATGGCTAGAACAGACAGGCTTGTTAGGTAGAATAGGAAGAAAAGAAGGGGCATACAAAAGGCTAGTGGGTTTCATTTAGTGATTCAGGAATGTTCTTAGTGGAAGATAGAGAGGGAGAAGTCAGCTAATAGCTTGGAAAGACTTCAGAAGAGCTGACAGATCCAGTACAGATCGAAACGGTAGGCTTTGTGGGAAGGCGGGTTGGAGGCAAGAAAAGACAGAAGACTGCCAGCCCCAGTACCTGACACTAGAGAAACTGCAGGGACCGGTAGGTTAAGAAGCCTGGCTCCCCAAATCCACAGATATGCAATGCTGACTCCACACCCCTCAGGAGGAAGCAAGTAGGCCAGTGTGGCAGGTTCTGCAGCTCACTGAGCTGTAGGGAGCTGTGAAAGCCTTCAGCGAACATGCAAAGTACATATGAAGTCTTGAGTGAATGTGTATTGTTTGACATGGGCATGGCCATATCAAGGGCCCCAGTACCTCAGGCCCCTGGGTGGCCTGAGCCTTCAGGAGGTCCAGTGCAGATGTTGGGAGTTTGTGCAAGTACAACAGTGTGTGCAACTAAGAGTGTTTAAGAACAACTGACCAGTGTGTGTAAAAGCCAGCAACTGCAGCTTCCTCGGCCTGGATGACTGCAACCTGAATTTGCTCCCCAGTAGAGACCTCCTACTGAGATGAGCTTCCTCCTCCCTGTGCTGTACAAAATAAATTCACTGGGGTCCAGTTGTTGGTGGCTAGGGTGCTGTTCCATCAGCGTGAGCACAGTCCACACAATCCCAGCTTTCCTATATGAGCATGTTTCTTTTCTTTCTTTCTTTTTTTTTCTCTTTTCCAATTTTTATTTAGAAAACCAAATTTTTTTTCTCTTTTCCAATTTTTATTTAGAAAACCAAATTTTTTTTCTCTTTTCCAATTTTTATTTAGAAAACCAAATTTTTTTCTCTTTTCCAATTTTTATTTAGAAAACCAATTTTTTTTCTCTTTTCCAATTTTTATTTAGAAAACCAAATTTTTTTTTTCTCTTTTCCAATTTTCTTTCTTTTTCTTTCGAGACAGGGTTTCTCTGTAGCTTTGGAGCCTGTCCTGGAACTAGCTCTTGTAGCTCCTCGAACTCACAGAGATCCACCTGCCTCTGCCTCCCGAGTGCTGGGATTAAAGGCGTGCGCCACCACCACCAGGTGTATCTTTTCTTCATTCCATCTCTGAGACCCAGTCAGGATTCTAGGGCCAAGGCATGCTCGCTAGACACAGCACTGAGCGTTGAGTAAGTTGTGATGGCTGGTGTAGACTCTTGCACCTTTTTTTGTTGTTGGATTTTTGAGACAGAATTTCTTTGTGTAGCCCCCTGGCTGTCCTAGAACTTGATCTGTGGACCAGGCTGACCTTGAACTCAAGAGATCCACCTGCCTCTGCCTCTAGATTGAAGGCGTGCACGTGCCACCTCCGCTAGCCTGTTCTTGCACCTTTTCATTTTTATTTATTCAGGTTTTTTGAAACAGGGTTTCTCTGTATAGCCCTGGCAATCAGCCACCAGAGAGTTCTTACCTCTACCAATGCTCAGACCAAAGGGGCAATCATGTCCTTAGACTGCACTGCTCCTCAGACTGCACTGAGCTCCTGTCTCCTCCCGGTTTATATTCCTCTCTTTGCTCAGCCCTATCACTCCTGTCTCCACTTCCCTAGTGGTGGGAGTAAAGGTGTGGGATCCCAAATGCTGGGATCTCCTTTGTGTGAGCTGTTTCTCGTTTAGACTGGATCAATTTCTTGTAGCCCAGGGTGGCCTTGAACTAACAGAGATCCACCTGTCCTGGGATTAAAGGTGTGTGCCACCGCTGCCTGGCCACTAGTGCTTAGTTTTGCACTCTGATATTCAGGCAAGCTTTATTTGTTAAAACACAAACAAAATATTACCACACCTGCGAATCAAGCGGGCAAATTCTTGACTGTAAAGAGAGGACTTGAAATCTAAACAAATTAGCACTAATTGAAACAGGTTTGTTGAACACACCTTTGATCTTGGCAGTGGAGGCAAGAAGATCAATTCAAGGTTATCCTCAGCTATATAACAATTTATATAATACATAATATAGCCTGGGCTATAAGATTTGTGCCAGATCAAAACGAATAAAAAACAGTTCTAATGCAGTAACTTTGTTCCCTGGGATCCGAGGCCGGCCATTTGTCGAGTGGGGTGTTACTCGACTTTGGAGTCACTGCTGGCAGTTTCACAGGGCAGCTGTGTGAAGATGCCATTGGGAATTCTTCAGAGAACACAAACCAACTAGACTAGACTAGGCTAGTCTGCCTTCCCAGCTCTACCGTCAGACAGAGTGAGGCTGGTGTCCCACAGACACTTCAGGGCTCCAGGGCTGGTACACAGACGTGAACTCCTTGTGTCCGGGAAGATGCAGCCTAGGAACTGAAACTCTGGCCTAGTCAAGATGTCCTCCTACCTCTTGCCCTGGTGCCTTTGCTCCTGTGCTGCCATCTCTGCCTCTGGTTGCCAGCACTTTCCTTATGGAGGGTATGATCTTTTGGCCACACACAGCCTCAGCAGCAACTGCCACCTGTGCGGCAATGCTATATGTCGTCTTCCTGTGCCCCAGAGGCCTGCTTGGCCTGTTACGTTTTCTAGAATCCTAGCCACTTGTCTTGGAGTCAGATCCAAAGCTGGTCTTCTGGCTTGGCCTCCCCTGACTCCAGCCATGGTTATCAAGAAGAGTGTGTCAGGTCACGTCTGCAGATGCTGGAAGGCCACTCTCCACCATCAATCTCACGCTGTAGCCCAGGATGGCCTCAAGCTTGTGATCCTCCTGCCTCTGTCTCCCATGTGCTGGGATTTTAGGCACGAGCTATAACACCAGGCCAACATGCTTGGTTTATTTAACAAGAAATCATATTCTTATGTCTGGCAGCAGGAACAGGGATGGAAGCCTCTAGAATTCCCAGTCTGAAAGAACAGCATCCCCAGCTGTGACTGCTGGAGTTAAGGTCTGATTTAGAAGCAAGAACAGCCCCAGGTAACTGGCTCTGGCCAATTTTATTTTTAAAATTAACTAACTAGTTAATATATTTTATGTGTGTGGGTGTTTTCCCTGCATGTGTAACTGAACAGTAAGTTCATGCCTGGTGTCCATAAAGGTTAGAAGAGTGCATACGAGTTACAGTTGTTATTCGTCATAAGGATGGGAATTGAACCCAGATTCTCTGGAAGGGAAGCCACATTAACTACTGAACTATCTTCTCCAGGGACACCAAGTTTTTCTTATTTTCTTTCCTTTTGAGACAGGCTTTGTCTTCATAACAATTCTAGCTGTCCTGGAACTAACTCTGTAAACCAGGCTGACCTCAAACTCAGAGATCTGCCTGCCTCTGCCTCCTGGATGCTGGGATTAAAGTGTACCACCACTGCCTGGCTCAACTTTGTTCCCTAAAGAGCCTTCTTAGAGGTAAGTTAATAGCAGTTAAGGTCCATCTGTTCATGCTGCGTGCCAGACTTTGTGCTGAGTGACTGCCATGCATCTGAGTCCTCACAAACCCAAATCAGAGTTATTCTTTTCAACAGGTTGAAGAAACTCAGGTAACTTGCTAACAAAGGCCAGTGTGGTGAACTGAGGTCTGAGGCCACATAGGTCCTTTCCTTAAACCACAGGCCTACCCCTAGTAGTTATGCCCACACCTGCTTCTACCTGGGCTGTCACCATCCATTCTCAACTTTGTCTACCATAAGGGAGGGCATACTGCATGACTGTGACACTATGGCTCTGGCAGCAATGCCTAGGCCTTCTATGAGGTCATAAGCTTCTCTTATGAGGTGTCAGCTTTCCCACAGCTGGCATATTTCCCACAGTTGTCTGTCTGCTAGGGCACAGGCGGCTCCAAATCCTTCTAGACTGTAAAATCACCTTTCTTGACCCTGGGCTCTAGAACACAACACCCAGGTCAGGTGTTTTCTTGTTTCAGGTGGTACACAACCCAGGTCTTCTGTTTTCCTCAGACACCAGCAGGTAGAGGAGTTTGTATTGCTCACCACCAAACCCTAACATGTAGGTTCTCAGTAACAGTCGAATGGATGTGGAGAATGAGGTCAGAATGAGATTATTAAATTCCTGACTGTAAAGTATACAGCAAGTTATTACTTGGGTGATGTAAACATGAACTGTGGACAGTTGTGGCTTTGTTTTCTACAGATAAAGCACTATCAAGCTAAAAAAAAAACCTGTAGAATCCAAATTAAGGAAGACACCAGTTTAAGACAGAACATTTCAGAAACTGTCACCTCCACTCCTCAATCAAATGTCACCAGACACGTTTAAACTGAGAAAAAAGTTTTAATGACACATACACATACATTTAGAGAACTTTAAACAAGACATAGTATAAAATCTCAAAGAAAGGAGGGGGAAGAGGAGGAAACATTGCATTTACTGCCTAAGAGCTAGTAGATGAACTGGCTGGCAAAAATGTCCTGGGACAACCGACCGACACACAGCTGATGAGGTGTGCCTGCCTGCACCATCAAGATTGGCTGAGAGACAAGCCAAGTCAGTTCTCTGAACTCAGCTGCTTATCAATGAGTCACTTTTAAAATGTAAAAAAATTACTCTTGGTTTAAAGACTCCACACATTATTACTGGCCAGTCCCCATCAACTGTATCTATTTTGATTGAGGGAAAACAAACAAATAAACAAAAAACCAAAACCAACTAAAAAAAAATGCTTCAACAGAGCCTGGATGGTAACACACTATCTTACTTATCACTTACTGGGGATATATATATATATATTTTTTGTGAAGTCAAAAGCAAGCTACTACTTGCACTCAAAACAACAAAATGCCGACCTTCCAAAAGGTGACAAAGGCACCACTGCCATCAGGAGATAGGACAAAAAAATGCACAAATGCTGACTTTAGAGCTACACAGATGATTTGTGCACAGAGCCTCTTCATGTAACGTTATTACAGAACTGTATTTTCAGATAACAGGAAAAGCAGGTTAGGAAAGGCAAACAGTTACACATAAAGCATCAACACAAGGACTTTAATTTTCAGCTTGCAGTAGGGGTAATAAGTTTGACATACACAACAAGAAAATTAGACAAGGTGATTTTTGGCACAGTAAGATTGCCAAACACACCACCACTCAGTGCAAGCTTTGTTTGCCAAGTACCAAATGTGGCCTGACAGTCTTTGTGCAATGAGCATTTTCTCCCTCTCTACCATCCCATCATCTGGGCAACAACAGCTGGAGGGAGACAAAGCACGGGGACTCAGAAGGAGATGGAAAATACTTGATTTGGGAGAAAAACCATGAACTACTTCTGCTAAGTAGAATCATAAATTTCTATGAGAACCCAAATGCAAATACTGACTATACTATGACCCGGAGACTGAAGGCTGCTACCAGAGTCATGAATACAAGGGCCTAAACTGATGTCTGGCCATTTATTTTAAAGGGAAGGACAAAGTATTTTTCTCTCATGGAGAAAGACAATTGAAAATAGATTTTACTCTTATTGGAACTGCTAAATAAGAATGTATCAAAGTGGTTTTAAATTTGATGGGTGGTTATCAGTTGAAATTGCAATATAAAAGGGTCACTTAAAAACCTGAATAACCCACTTGTCCCCGTCAATGTACACAATAGAAAATATTTACACACTGTAATTACAAGCAATATAAGCAGATTTTTATATTTTGAGATTTTTGTACACTTTACACAATGCAAAATGAGAAAAATATGAACACTTATAAAATTACACACAAATAATGTATCTACAAGGTATTAAATTACAGAGTGAAAGCCCCCATTGTTGGGCAGATAGATGCCAGAGTTTCAAGCTTCTGTCAAATACAACTCTTTGTATCTATCTCTTTAACCATAGTGGCATTTTGTAACAATACCCTTGAGAGGTAGCATCAAGATACTATTCTTACCAGTAAACTCAACACTGAAGAAAACTTTTGTTGGTCGGACTCTTGGAGCCTTGATCAGCCTCAGAACTTGAAAATTTGATTTGTTTATTCCCTGTAAGATCTCTAACTGCCCAATGCTTGACATGAGCTCAAAAGCTACTGCTATTTTAAATGATAATTTTATGATAAGAATGGTTTTTATTCCTAAGCCTCAATTTAGAGGTAGAAAGTTAGCTCTCAGAACTTATTTTCTCCTCTCAAACCATAAACATTGAGCCCAGTTCCCTTTCTAACCCCCATCTGGACATCATCATGCTCAGGAGGGAACAAGTCACTCATGCCAGTTTTCAAACAAGCAGCTGGCATCCATTTCAGGAAGCAACCCCTCCCCAGACAGGCAAAGGTCTGCGAGAGTGTTACTACCAAAGGTTTCAAAGAGCCTAGGCTCAATCTAGCGTGTGCACCTCTGCTAACCCTCTACCATCTAAACTAGAGGATGGCTTTCCAGTGTTTAAAAGAATTTAGAGCAGCTGTGGTTTTCAAGTGCAACAACTTCAAGATACAAACGCTCGGGTGAACACACACACACACACACACACACACACACACACACACACACACACACAGTGTCCCCAAAATAAACATCATCAAGGTCTCTGCTAAATTATATACTCGTGGGAAAAAGGTTTTTGGAAACTTCCAGATTTTTTTTAAGCCTTTATATAGAGACTTCTGTAATATAGTTACCAATGGACAGAATTCTGACTTAGCTAAGATTTTATGATTGAATCAGATTTTAAAAATATATGCATTTACAAGAAATCCTAAACAAACTGCCTATGAAGGTTCTGGCATTTTAAAAACGGCCACTATTTTGTAGCTTAATCTCTTCCTCTAGGCAATCTGACAGCATGTCTGTTCCTTAACTGACTTTAAACAGACTTCAAGACTTCAGATCTATAATTTTGATAGTAAAGGGACAGTGTATGAACTGAAACTGCCTATGGTTTACAGACCCTGACTCCTAACTACAGAACTCTATTCTAGGCTTTCCCTTTGTGCCCTAAAATAACCAAGAGGAAAATGAAAACCAGCTGGACCCCGGCCTTCGTTTCAATGTCCAACTCCTCAAGTTGGCCCATACTTTTCCTCTTTATTTTCTGTGATGGTCCAAGTGCTATGAAGTCACCTACCAAGATAATCGCTGAAAACTTAACAAGGGGCGCTAGGAGGAGCAGGCTGGGTTCTTCTACCAGCTGTGTCTACCCCTACCCTTCTCTTAAAGGCTCCCGTTCTTTCCTCTAAGGTCAAGCTGCAGATGGCATTTCATATCTGCTTCAGACACGGTGAAGTCTTCATTGCCAGCCTCATCACACAGTTGTGTTCCATAGCATCTGCTGGATCCCACAGTAACCCTCTTGGAAAGGTCCTTCCCGCTTTGTATTTCTGCTGCTCTACTCCTGTTAAGAATCTGGCACCCAGAAGTCATGAAGCTGCCCCTGGAAAAGGGAGAAAAAAAGGAAAATTTAATCAGATTATTAATTAATACTCTTAATCACTGGACAGCAGGCTTTGATAATGAAAGCAGAAAAAAAAAATCATTACATATACAAGCCTCTGAAAGCATCTTTCTTGTTTTGAGGCTGGGTCTTATATTATTAGCTCTGGTCAGCCTTGAACTCCCAGAGATTTGCATGCTTCTGTCTTTCAAGTGCTGGGACTAAAAGCACGAAGCCATCATGCCCACTGAAAATTTCTTATGATTTTATAACTTTTACACTTTTGTACTCTGGCAATAGAAAGGGATAATACAAATATAGGACATTTTTCTCATGGGCACACTCACAAAGGGACGTATTTAAGGAGATTAAAAGTGTTAAACTTACTAATAAAAAGTTTTGCTATTAATGCCACATTGGCACAGGACCTTAACATTCTGAGGGAACTGAAGAGATGTCTCAGTGGTTAACAACACTGTCCACTCTTCCAGAGGACCTGAATTTGATTCCCAGCGCCAAACTAGCAGCTCACAACTGTCTGACCTGATACTTCCTAGCCTCCAAAGTTATCTGGCATGCAAGTGGTATGCAGATATACATGAAGACAAAACACCCCCCCCCCCACACACAAAATAAAATAACAAAAAACTCCACACTGCACTTGGCAAAGTCTTTCTAGCATGCACAAGGTCCCAGATTTGATCCACAGCTTAGAATGAGCAGGATGTAGTGGTGTATACTTGCAATCCTAGCAGTGGAGGAAGACAGATGAAGATCAGAAGCCTAAGGTTACCCTTGTCTATACAGAGAGTTTAAGGGCAGCCTGAGCCCCATACAAATACTGAAATGCTGTGAGACAAAGAGATTCCATCAAGAATATGCTCAAGATGTTTTCCTTTAAACACATTCTTACATAAAACCTTATATATAAATGTTCATGGAAATATTTCTTTTCTTTTTTGAGTTTTCTTTTCTTTTTAAGATTTATTTATTATGTATAGTGTTCTGTCTGTATGTATGCTTGCTGGCCATAATAGGGCACCAGATCTCATTACAGATGGCTGTGAGTCACCACCATGTGGTTGCTGGGAATTGAACTCAGGACCTCTGAAAGAGCAGGCAGTACTCTTAACCGCTGAGCCATCTCACCAGCACCCCCTCCTTTTTTTTTTTTTTTAAATATTCATTTATTATGTATACAATATGTTGTCTACATGTATTCCTGCAGGCCAGAAGAGGGCACCAGACCTTACTACAGATGGTTGTGAGCTACCATGTGGTTGCTGGGAATTGAAGTCAGGACCTTTGGAAGAGCAGGCAATGTTCTTATCCGCTGAGCCATCTCTCCAGCCCCCCTTTTTTGTTTTTTTGAGATAGAGTTTCTCTGTGTTAACAGTTCTGGCTCTCCTAGAACTCGCTCTGTAGTCGAGGCTGGCCTCAAACTCAGTGATCCTGCCTCTGCCTCCCAAGTGCTGGTATTAAAGTCGTGGGCCACTACTACCTGTCGAGAATTCTTAATAGTCAGAAAGTAAAATCGGCCTGAAGGGGAACAAAAAGAGGCACAAAGGTGGTGGAGGAACTGGGAGGGACTGGAGCTGGTCTTCAATTTTGTGGCTACACTACTCACCACAGACTAGGTAGTGAAATGCACATCACGCACTTTATCCTAAGAGAACTGTTAGACTCATGACAACCACACATCACGCAGTGGGTTTCACAATAAATAAAACTGTTAAATAAAATGATACCTGAGTAGGCCGACAGTTCTGGATTATTTCCTGCCATTTTCCATGTATCCTGGCAACCAAGTCTTTCACCTTAAAAACAACAAAAAGAGGAGACTATCAGATCAGAGTATCCTCACTTAAAATCAACTTAACATTTGATAGAAAGCACCTCATAGTTGCTGCTATGGAGGTGCATGGCTGCACTCCCAGCACTCGGGGGACTGCTCAAAGTCCAAGGCCAGTCTGAACTGTGTGTGAGATCCTGCTTCAAAAAACTGAAACAAAACAATAACAACCAAAATAAGCATAAAAGCCACATATATTTCATAGCGACCACAGGCCCGTACCCAATAATTCTATTAGATTGCTGTCAAGAAAAGGCTACTTATCTTTTGCGGAGGCTTTCAAATGACAACATTTTTTTAAATTACCATAATTTATTTTTTCACAATCTACAATATCAAATAATTATGACTTAATTTTCTTGTGTGTTTGTTTTTTAAGGCAGGGTCTCTGTATAATCTTGGCTGTCCTGAACTCCCTATGTAGACCAGGCTGGCCTCAAACTCATAGAAATCCACCTTCCCGTTTCCTAAGTGCTAGGATTAGGTGTGAGCTACAACACCCAGTCTTAATTTTCTTTCATTTTATGTGTATGGGTGTTCTGCCTACACGTACATCTGTTCATTGGCCACCAAAGCCAGAAGAGGGCTACAGATCTCCTGAAGTAGAAGTATTACATACAGATGGTTGTGAGCTGCCATGTAGGTGCTGCAAATCTCATTTGGGACCTCTGGAAGAGCACCCAATGCTATTAACCACTAATTATCTCTAGTCCTTAATTTCCTTTTTAAAAATTATTATTCGGAGACAGGATCGCTCTATTTAGCCCTGGAAAACCTTAGATTTAAAGCAGTTTTCCTGCTCCTGTCTCCCATGTACAGAGATTACAACAGTGCACCACCATACCCGATTTACCGTTACTAACGACAGTCCAGATGGTTTAGAGAATCACAATGCTGCCATCAAAGAAATTTTTACTTTCTATTCTCTGGCTTTTGAACACCCAGCTAGGGAAGCTAAAGGGTGGACCATTTTATAGGGCCCAATGCACTGACTGATTGAGCTTTACCATAGCTTGCTTCTAAAATAGGCTCGATAGAAAGACAACAAAAAATGTTTTTGTTGGGATATGGCTCAGTAGTTAAGAGCAGTTATTCTTGTGGAGAACATAGGTTTGAGTCCCAGAACCTACATGGTAGCTCACAACCATTTATAACCTCAGATCTAGTGAATTCAATGCCCTCTTCTGATCGCCAGGCACAAATATAGCACACTATAGCTCACAGACACATTCAAGGAAAAACACACATAAAATTACACATGTCTAAAATGTTTTTAATGTGTTACTTGCTCCCTTCCACGGAATCAGAAGACCCTAACTCCCTGCCACTCCTTTTGTAAGTGCTACACAAACCTCTGTACCTGGCACCTGCTACACACAGATTTAGCCAGTCTGTCAAACTCAAAGGTGTCCTGCCAACAACACACAAAAACAGGAAGCAAGGTACATCAGTACAAGTCTATGTTAACTGGGAGCTCTAAGGACATCTAGTCTGTTTTAAACAAGGAATAAGGCAAGGGCTGACATTCATAACTGTCCTTAGATATCCCCATGAGCACCACGTCACATGTATGCTCACACCCCACACCCACCATAAATAACATACTTACTTTAGTTCTGTAGAAAAGCCGTGCATCTTCCCTAATATCACACTTAACATGCTTTTCCAAAGCCCCACAAAGCAGCACGAAATGTCTCTATGTAAAACAAAACAAACACAAAAGATGAAAACAATTCCAAAGTCTTGCAAAATAACAGACTATGCAGTTAAAAAAAAAAAAAAAAACCAAATCACTTAAAACTTACTTGATAAGAGCCCCACCAGTGAAAGGTGTTGACTTCCATAAGAACATAATGGTTATGACTCATTGCTAGTGAATTAAAAATATACAAAGAACTACGTGTGGCACGGCAAATGCTTAGCAGCTTTAGTTATTAGGTAGGCTGAGGCAGGAGGACTAGCTGAAGATCATCAAGACAAAACAATGAGATCCTTTCTCTTAGAAAACACCAGACCTGTTAGAACCATTCAGTGGACAAAGTCCTCCCTGCGAGGCCTGACCTGAGTTAACCCTCAGCCCCCACAAGGTGGAACGAACCCCAATTACCATGTGGGCTTTGGCATACTCATGTGCACACAATTTAACTCCTAATACTTTTCTCCACCTTCTGAGTGCAAAGTACTTCAATTACAGGCATGTGACGCTACTCTTGGCTCAAAAACAAAACAAAACAAAACAAAACAAAACAAAACAAAACAAAACAAAAACACCTGCCCCTCTGCCCTTTATTGGGCTTGGAGAGATGGCTCAGTAGGTTTTGGTTCCTAGTATCCACATTAGGCATCTCACAGCTATCTGTTAACTGTAGCTCCAAGAGATCCGGGGTCTTTGGCCTCCAAGGGCACCTGCACTCAAGTGTGCATACCTATATGAAGGCACATAAACCTATGTGAAAATAAAACCTTTTTAAAAATTAAAAAAAAAAAAACTTTACCTAGAGAAGCTAAATAAGAAGGTGAACCCAAAGAAAAACATATAAGCATCCTCCTGGATATTAACCTTCATCAGGCGATGAAAGGAGACAGAGACAGAGACCCACATTGGAGCACCGGACTGAAATCCCAAGGTCCAAATCAGGAACAGAAGGAGAGAGAGCATGAGCAAGGAACTCAGGACCGTGAGGGGTGCACCCACACAATGAGACAATGGGGATGTTCTATCGGGAACTCACCAAGGCCAGCTGGCCTGGGTCTGAAAAAGCCTGGGATAAAACCGGTCTCGCTGAACATAGCGGACAATGAGGACTACTGAGACCTCAAGAACAATGGCAATGGGTTTTGATCCTACTGCACATACTGGCTTTGTGGGAGCCTAGGCAGTTTGGATGCTCACCTTACTAGACCTTGGACTTCCCACAGGGCAGGGAACCCTGATTGCTCTTCGGGCTGATGAGGGAGGGGGACTTGATTGGGGGAGAGGGAGGGAAATAATAGGCGGTGGCGGGGAGGAGGCAGAAATCTTTAATAAATAAATAAAAAAAAGAAAAAAAACTTTATTGTGTAAGTATGTGTGTCTGCATGTGTGGAGGTCAGAAGACAACTCTGTAGAGCTGCTTCTCTCATCCCTTTACATGGATGCTGGGGAGTGAACTTGGGTTACTCAGCCTGATTAGGAAGCACTTTACCACCAGAACACCTTGTTGGTCTCATCCATGAATTTTAGCTGGATTCTCTTAGTTTTCTGAGAGGAAGTCTGGTTATATTATTCAGGTTGGCCTTGAAACCTTGGGTGCAAGCATCCTCTATTCTCCAGAGTAGCCAGGATAAGCCAGAACATCTGGCCTAATCTCCTTTCTCCCACCAATACTTGAGATTGAATATTGTGTCTCCAACAAGTTAGAAAGTGCTTTACCACTGAGCTACATTCCTAGCTTTCTTACTAAGCTGTCCAGGATGGGCTTGAATTTGTTATTACCCAGTGCCTCAGCCTCCTGAGCAGATGGGACTATAGGCGTGTGCTACTTGGGCTTTTCTTCTGGTTCCCCCACCCCTCTTGGCTATGCATGGAACTCTACAGATCAGGTTAGCCTTGAACTCAGATGTGCCTGCTTCAACTTGGATTAAAGGCTTGCACCAAGTGCACCATCACCACCTGGCTCTTTTTTTTTTTTTTTTTGAAGTAGGGTCTCACAAGGTTTAGAACTCATTATGTAGACCAGGGTAGCCTCAAACTCATAGAGAGCTGCCTACCTCTGCTGGGATTAAAGATCAAGCCTGGTTTGGTGTTTTTGTTTGTTTGTTTGTTTTTCCCCCTACTCCTGAGACAAGGTTTCACTATATAGCAGTTGTTTTCAATCTGTGAGTTGAGACCCCTTTAGGGATCACATATTAGATTTCCTGTATATTTGATATTCACATTATGATTCATAATAGTAGCAAAATTAGTTATGAAGTAAGTAGCAACTAAAATAATTTTATGGTTGGGGATCATCACGACATTAGGAACTGTATTAAAGCTGAGAACCACTGCTTTACAGGCCAGCCCGGAACTCACTATATAGCTCAGGCACCAACTCAGGGTAATCCTCCTTTCTCAGTCTCTAAAATTCTGGGATTATAGGCACAAGCCAGTATAGTCAGCAAGCACAGGCTTTTATTAATAGAGAATCAAATTTATCTACTCCAAAAAGTTTCCTTGTCTGGAGAGGTGGTGCTTGGCTTTACACCCAACACTTGGGTCGCAGAAGGAGGGTCAGAAAAAGTTCAAGGTTACCCTCATCAGTATCAAAAAATTGGAGAGACTGGGCTATATGAGACACTGTTTAAAAACACACAGAATAGCAGGTCTGGGAGCACATGCTGCTAATCTGGATCTTGGGAGTGCATTTCCACTCCCAAGGGATTAATGGTGTACATTTCCACACCTCCACACCTAGCTTTAAAAATAAAATTCTTGTTGGGCAGTGGTGGTGGTTGTGGCAGTGGCATCACACACCTTTACTCCCAGCACTTGGGAGGTAGAGGCAAGCGGATCTATGTGAGCTCAAGGCCAGCCTGGTCTATAGAGAGAGTTCCAGTACAGCCAGGCCTATACAAAGAAACCTTGTCTCAAAAAACAAAACAAAAACACAAAAATGAAATCCTAAAAAAAAAAAAAAAAATTATTTTGTGTATGTGTATAAATGTATACACGGATGCCTTAAGGCCAGAAGAGGGCATCAGATCCCAATACAGATGGTTGTGAGCCACCATGTAGTTGCTGGGAATTGAACTCAGGATTTCTTGTAGAGCAGCCAGTGCTCTTAACTGCTGAGTCATCTCTCCTGCTCAGAAATGAAATTGATATGGAGAGAGAATTCAGAAATGTACATCTGAAGTAGAATGAGTAATAGTAGTTTAATTTTAACTTGGCAGGCAAAAATTTTTAAATAACATTTAAAAAATTAATTTTGTGTACATGTACATGTGCCATGGTGTACATGTGGCAATTCATAAGTTGGCTCTCTCTTTCCATCATGTGGGGCCTGAGGACTGAGCTCAGGTTGCCAAATCTGGCAACAAGGACCTTTTTTTTTTTTTTTGGGTTTTCGAGACAGGGTTTCTTTGTGGCTTTGGACCTTTATACCACAGAGGCATCTCCCAGGTTCCTCTAAATCACCATTTTTAAAGGCATTCTAGTTTTTCTAAAGGAACATAAAAGCCAGAGGAGGTTCAGAGGAAGAAAGTAAGAAGAAACCAGCTAAAAGGTCGTCTACTCGGTGAGCCTGGTATCTCATGATTACACTATTGCCAGGGTATGGTCACTAAGCTCTACTCCAACCAACCACTACTGAGAAATCATTTTTGTCACTATGATCTGGTTGTAGGTTGCTATGACTTCCGGATTTCTACAGCAAACCCAGTCAACTTTCAAGTTGTCTTCTGACACACACATGCTCATTCGTTCCACCACAGGACACCTATTTATAACAGTACCATGTATTACCTACCCGTTGTCCAGAAGAAAAAGAATGAGAACAACTAACTTCCCCAACTAAATGAAGTAGAACATAGGTCAGGTAATATGCCTGTTAGAGAGATGAAGACAATTACTACTCATGAAAAAGCTAGCATAAATACCACCCAGTCTACCAATTAGCAAACTCCCCAGGAAAGACAGGATTTAACTTTGTGAGGAAGAAAAAGCCATGCACTTCAACCAAATTAAGTGCTTTTTCTTTTTAACAACCTTACAGCTGCCACAGTATAGGTTAAATTACTAACAACTGCCCCTTCACACCAACTTTCAATTCTACTCTGAAGAATTTTCGGACAGCAATAAACATTGTTTACTCTATGCCCCATGCATTCTCTGAGCTCTAGCTCTGGATACCTGCTTTTCAAGTTCTAAATGAAGACTGTCATCAATTGTTCCATTTGGTTGTTCAGCCCTTTTCTTTAAGACCATTTTCTTCAACAAATCAGAAGGCTTCATCTGCACTAGATAGCGATGTAGGACCGAGATCTATTAAGGGAAGAAAGACTTGGTCAATTCTAGTGCAGTGTTCTTTTTTGAGCTAATTCCAGTATACCCACTGTTATTCTGGCTCCTTTTCCTGGCTTGGTAATTCTATGACACCCATAATTCTGTTTACCTGAAAGTCCTCAATTGCTTAAGAAGGTGTTTTATATTAAGTTCAGTATTTGTAATTTAGGTTAAATGCTTAGAACAAGAACAAATGATATTATATATGATAGAGGTCATTGAATTCTAAGAAAGAAGCATTATCTATCCAATGTGGTGGTTATGCTTGCAATCCCAACACTTGATGCTGAAGTAAGAGGATCACTGGGAGTTGAAGGCCAAGTGGACTATCAGTGAGTGAGGTCCAGCTGACATCAAGTAGTAAGCCTGATGGTTATTCATGCAGTTCTCTTTTATATAGATATAAAACGAAAAGGTGATAGGCAAGACAAGTCCTATCCAGGATCCCTTGGTAGCTATAAATATTGCTGAATGGACTGAGGACTTTTAGCTATCTTAGTGGCTCAGGAATGGTGCCCACGAATCTCCAATCAAATCCACTTCCACCTGACTAGGGTGGCAGTCGGTTGGTTCTGTCCTATAGTATCTTGTGCATATTCTAATACTGCTGTTGCACGTAATGGTTCATATCACTATACTATCTTCCAGAGTACAGTCTCATTTTTATTTCTAGGACATAAGCTAGTAACTTATAGTGAATTGCAATTCGAATAAGAACAATACAGGACACCCAAAGTTTTGTGTATTTTTACACTCAAAATAAGGATAGCCCTTGTCTTAGCTATGGTTTCTATTGTTGGGAAGAGACACCATGACCACAGCAACTCTTAGCAGGAAAACATTTAATTGGGGAATTAGTTTCAGAGGTTCAGTTCATTATCATGTCAGGGAACATGGAAGACATGGTGCTGGCTACATTTTGATCAGAAGGCAACAGGAAGTCAATTTATGATTTTCTTAAGAGTTTATTTATAGATTAATTTATCTATCTATAATTTTCCTATAGGGTAGAAGCTATATAACATCCATTTCAGAGTTGATAAATTGGGTCTTTTTTGGGGGGTATAGAGTTTATTTAGTGGGTCAGGGAGAGGAAAGAGAAGAGGGAAGAAGACAGAGAGGCGGTGGGGGCAGGAGGTAATAGTTCCCTCTTCAGAAAAAGGTTGAAAGAGCAGGTATTTTTTTTATTAGGTACAATGCAAAAGATTACATCAGCAATATCATGCTTGAAAGTTTGAGTTTACGAAGAACTTCGTTTTGGATGAGACAAGATTTCTTTCTTGCCTTCGCAGTGCTGGGATTAAAGGCATGGGCCACCAAGTCTAGCTGGTTAGGACTTCTGATTTAGGATTCATTAAATTTCCCAACATCTCACTAACTCTCCCATTTATTAGAACAAAAGTGTATTTATACCTGAAGATTATTGGCATTAGGGATATCTTCGTGTTTTTCATCCAAAAGCTTTGAAATAATCACTAGACTGAGGCACTGCCTCAGTTGCCTGGAATTAGAAATAAAAAATTTTTATAATGTGTTTAAACAATACAACCTGACAAGCAAGCAAATGAGCCAAAAGGAGTCTTAGTCTCTCAAGGCTGTCTCGGAACCAACCAACCAACCAACCGGTACAGAGCAGCAGTGTTCATGTAAGATATGTGCACATCAAGTTAGAACCGCCTAGGGCTGGGAATAGTTCAGTTGGTATAGTGTCTACCCATCATGCACTGAGCCCTGGTGTGCCAGGGCACATCTGAAATCCTAGTGCTCATCAGCATGATCCAAACTTCAAGATCATCTTTTCCCAAGCCACTGCTCCTCACTCTGCCTAAGGTCCTAAGAACCTGTCTCACAAAAGTAGAAAAGGAAGCTGAGTGTGGTGGCACAAGCCCTTAATCCCAGCACTAGGAAGGCAGAGATAAGCAGATCTCTGAGTTCAAGGTTAGCTCAGTCTATGGAGTTCCAGGATACAAAGAGAAGCCTTGTTGCACCCCCTCACCCTCTACAAAAAAAAAAATTAATTTTTGTTATGCATCATCTACCCCTGGAAGCGGGGTGGGGATGGTGGTTCAAATGATCCTTTCACAGGGGTAACATCAGATATCCTGCACAACAGATATTTACCTTATGATTCATAACCATAGTAAAACTACAGTTGTGAAGTAGTGATGAAAATAATTTTATGGTTGGGGTCACCACAACATACAGTATCACAGCATTAGGAAGGTTGAGAAACACTGTGCTGACTTATCTGATAAACTAAAAATAAAAACCAAAGATAGTCATGTTCTGAATTAAGTAACATAATCAGGATTTCTACACCCTTTCAATAAAATCAAAGAACATTCAAAACTGATGAATAGAAATGGGAGTCCTAAGTAGGATGTGGTGGCCTAGCCACGCAACATTCAGGAAAGGCTGAGGAAGGACTGAGTCTGAGGCCAGCCCAGGCTAGAAAGTGAGTCCCTGCCTCACAGGAGCACTCCACAGCATTAACTAGCATCAACATTGTAAGACATCTTGATGCTTATCTCACTTTCCAATACCTTCCACGAGACGTCCAGTTAGGGACCAGTTGCACCAACCACAGAAGGTTGTGCGGATGACTAGATAGTTCATTTATGCCCACACAGAGTTCATGCACCTGAAAAAAAAAAAGAGAACAAGCCCATGATCAGACCTACCCTCTTGCCTTGAAGGAAGTCACTAAAACAACTCTGAATTATGAAAACACATGCCATTTAAAACCTACTAAAATGCATATATATAAAAAAATTCTATTTTTTTTTCTTAAAGTACTCCTAGCATTTCATGTCACTCTCATGTTGTTGCTACACTTTTACTTTTATTTGCTGGTCTTTTTTTTTTTTAGTTTTTTTTCTTTTTAAAGTTTTTATTTATTAATTATGTATACAGCGTTCTGTCTGCACACCAGAAGAGGGCACCAGATCTCATTACAGATGGTTGTGAGCCACCATGTGGTTGCTGGGAATTGAACTCAGGACCTCTAGAAGAACAGTCTGTGCTCTTAACCTCTGAGCCATCTCTCCAGCCCCTTGATGGTCTTTCTTGAAAGAATAAAGTATTCAAATATCAGTTTCCCCAAATGTGTATAACACACACACACATTATAATTGAGACCTGAAAATTCTTGCACACTTGGATTTTATTACAGTATTTTTATTTTCTGGCTATGTAGTCCAGCCTTGTACTTGCCAGTCATGTACCAACCACTGAACTACGCCTTCAGCTCTCTAGCTGTTAATGATATTAAAAACTGACAGTTGCTTCAAAATAAGCTGATGAGCATGGATGGGAATAAGCTTGGTGACAGTTATTCAGTTTAGTTATTTTTGTTGTTATTTTCAAGATAGGGTTTCTCTATGTAACCTTGATTGTCCTAAAACTCGCTCTGTAGACCACTCTGGCCTTAAAAATCACAGAGATCTGTCTGCCTCTGCTGTGATTTAAAACGTGGGCCATCATGACCCGGCACACAGGAGTTTATTATGCTCCTCCCACTTTAGTTTAAAAACCTCTACCAAAAATGGCCGAGAATTTAACTATAAAAAGGTCTAATAAAATAACGCATGCTCAGCTCCCACATGGCTATTTACTTATAACTCAGTCCCGGGTTCAGGTATAACATCATGTCTTTTATGCTCAAAGGCCATTTCAGAAAGACGTCTCATCCTTGAAGGTCTCGGATGACATCGCTGCAGTCCAGCTGTGCTAGCTAATTGTGCCACCCTGGTCACCCTTTACCTTAATTTGCAACACTTGATTACAACCTGAAATGTCACTTTATGACATCTGCCTGAATTCCTTTACGCATCCTCTAACTGCATGAATGGTAGGTAAGACAGCCCAACAACGGCAAAGGTACTGGCTTGCTAGAACCTTTGAACACTCAAGACATAGTAAATCCCTAATAAATGTTGAAAAGACAGCTACTTTTAGAAAAAAAAAATCCAGTTAGTTTAAATAACAGAGTTCCAGCAAATAGTGCCTTCCTCAGCTACTTTCATGGTTAAACTCCTCGAGCGTAGAAACTTTGAACTCTGAGTGCATATGAAACGCGATGCTGCACAACTCCTACACTTTATCTGTAGACTGGTCTCCTCAGCCGCTGTGTAACTGAAGAGGACATTATTAGTTCTTTAACCTCCTACCTTACTCATTCATAAATGCTAGAATTACAGGTATGCACGGCCATCCTTGGCACAACACCTAAGATTTTAAGAAATGTTACCTTTGTGTTCCAATCTCTGATGTTTTTCATGAGATTTATCAGGAGGCTTTGAAAGTCTACTAATGGAATCTGTTTCAGTTCTTTTTCCAGACTCATTTTAAATAGCATTAAAATCAACAACATTATTTCTCGATCTTGGTAACCTTCTGGATGTATAGATGTACACAAGCCTAGAAACTGCCAGAAATGAACAAAGGAGAAAATTACCTCAAGAGTTTAAAGTATATTCTTGACAAAAGATCAAAAAATTAAAAGAAAAAACCACACAGATAACAAGTATGAGATGTCTAGAAAAGGTAAGAAATGCAACACAAACAGTAAAATGAAAGGATAAGTATTTCCTTCTCCATTTTCAATTAGTGATTGGATTCAGCCACTAAAATATCTTCACACTGAAATTACTTCTTGGTCAATAAATTATACTGTAACACTTTAACAGTGAAATTCTCACCTGAAGTTCCTGTTTACTCTTAATATTAAAAGAAAATTGCATTTGTAAGGAATATAATTGCTAAGACCTTTCACTTGGTAAGAAACCAGTGGAATTTTAAACAACCACAAAACTGGTTCTGACTCTTTGCTAAAGATATATAATAAAGTCTTCCTTACCTTAACTACATTTAAAATGTTGGTTTCAGGAAGTGTTGAAAAAATGGGATTACAAGATGAATCTTCGCTTCCTCTTCCCCCCAGAGTTTTCTGTGTTTCAAAACTATTGAGAAGGGAATAAAGCATGCATTTCAGAACCATCACGAAAGCAGGATGGAATCAGGCACAAAGTACTCACTGTGGGAAACTCTGAACAACAATGTTCAGTCAGAGTCTCACTATGCAGCCCAGGCAAGTCCCAAATGTATACTCACCCCGCCTCAGCCTCCTGAGAAGCTGGGGTTACAGGTGCATGCCACTGTACCCAGCTTAGTTTTCATTTGAAATGGTTACTTTCCCTAATGCTTCCCGTGTTAGAAAACTACATAAGACAGGCTTGATAAAACAGTACTGACATGATTGTTAGAGGCCTTACAAGTGTTAAAGAACCTGCCAACATAACATAAAGATAATTAGAGAGGCTAAGGACATGGCTCCGTGCTATGCAAGCATGAAGACCTGAGTTCTAATCTCTAACAACCATGCACAATTCTAGGCATGGCTCTAAGTGTCTGAAATTCCATCACTGGGAGATAGAAACAGGAATATCCCAAGAGCTCACTAGCCAGTCCAAGTGAAGGGTTAGCTTCTGTTTCAGTGAGAAGACCTTGCCTCAAGGCAATTGTGTGGGAAGTCACTGTAGGAAGACTCAAGTTACTATTCTGGCCTTGCATGGGCATGCAGAGGAGTAGATTCAGGCACACTTATGTATAAACACCACACGCAGAGAATATACTCACAAACCATTCTGAAAAAAGATGCATAAACTTGACTTTTTTATTTTTAATTGCATGTGTGTGGGTTTGTACACAAGTGTAGTGCCAACAGAGGCCAGAGACAACATGGGAACCCTTGGATCTACAATTACAGATTAGGGGGAACTGAACTCAGGTCTTCTATAAGAGCAGTATGTGCTCTTAACCACTGAGCAATCTCTGATTACTTCTGATCTTGACTTTTGAGACATTTTTACTTAAAGCAACAACAAAACCCCAACAATATTCATTTGGCAAGAACAAACCAACAAACCCCATGATGTATCAAATGATTTGCCTTCCCAACTGTATTCTTTCAGCTACTTGCTTCCTCCTCCCACAGCTGCTATTGGTTCTAGTCCTTCGTTCCACAAACATGTATAAAAAGCAAACAGAACCCTGTGCTCTGAGAACATTTGGTCTTTGTTTCCATGTACCAGCAAGAGCTCTTTACTGCTGATAAGGTGCTCATGAAGACCACAGTAACTAACTGTGATTAGGGGGTTAGAAATTAAGTTCCACCCAGAGAGTCTAGGAATCAAACTGATCATAAAATGGTCAATGGTTTCATCCACCATCCTTGTGAAATAGAACCTCTATAGGAACTCTTTAAGTTGGAACTCTATGGTGGTTAAAAAAATACACCCCCCTCCATATTTTGATGTTTAGGTGGAAAACCCCACACATTTGGGTCAGAATAGAATGTCTTCAGCCTTTCACAATGGCCCTCTGTACCCACTTTACTATGAACAGTGGTAAACTATGTACTGTTCTCCAGCTTCCTGTTTTTCCTTAGTAATGAATGGTACCTTGAAGATCCCTTCACACTCACATGTGGAATTCCTCTTTGTTCTTTTGTGCCCCATTACCTTTGATGGGGGCTCTTGCATGAACATGATGGGGGTTTACTTCTGGGCAAGGCTGTTACTAGCGGCCATAGCAAAGAGTAAGATGATCTTGCTCTCCTTGTAATCGATACTGCTTACAGCTGAAGGGGGTGGGAGTGTGTGGGGGGAGAGGTTCTCATGAGTCTCCTGCAGTTAACCACCACAAATTTACAGATATAACAGCCAAGTCATGCCCAAAAGACAGGATTTCACAGCTCCCTTCCCAACCTTCAACTTCTACATGTTTTTTGTCCTCCCTTCTGTGATATATCTCCTGGGCTTTGGAGCAGTTTTTTTGAGATGATCTCACTCCGTAATGTAGTCCAGACTAGCCCGGAACTATGTATGTAGCCCAAGTTAGATTCTTAAGTCTCTCACATACTAGGGTCACAAACATGAGGCACCACACAAGAAAAAAAAAAAAGGAAGAAAAAAGAAAAAAAGAAGACAAACCCTGGTCTACAGAGCAAGTTACAGGACAGCCAAGGCTACACAGAGAAACCCTGTCTCGAAAGAAAAGGAAAAAAAAAAAAAAGAAAGGAAAAGAGAACAGGGTAACTATAGCCATAGCTGGCCTAGAAATTACTATTTATCATAAACAAGACTTGAACTCATAGTGAAGGAATCACAGGTATAAGCCACCACACCTAGCAATTTTCTTCTTTTTCTAAGTAGCTCCTTAGTGGATCTTAGTCCCCCTCTCTGTATAACTTGTAGAAAACTACTTCATCTTTCCGTGCCCAGCTTGTAAAATGGGAATGAATTACTAGTAATATCACACTATATCAATCTGGCACACAGCAATTACAGTATAAAGGCTCCCAACTATGATGTAATGATGTGCAATACCAGGCAGATCAATTTGGTAATGCTAAAGAGCAAAACAGAAGATTGGTCAGAGGCCTAGTATTTCACAGCTCTTAGGTTTAAGCTGGAAGACCTCAGTTTGAGCCTAGACTGAGGTAACATAATGACCCTTGTCTCCAGAAGAAAGAAAAATAGGAAAAATAGAAAATAGTTAAGTAAAATTATAAACTCAACATGATATAAAAGTACAGAGATTTCTTCTAACAGTGAAGAGTCTTAGAGGAAGAAATACTAGGAAAAAAAGATGTTTGGTAGGCTAGGCATGGAGAGAGGACTAACTAAGACTGACACTAGGCATAAGAAGGAGAAAGCAGCTATGAGACAGGAAAGAAGAAAACACTGGTGGGAGAGTAGATGGGGTTCAACTGCAAACGGTCGACTGTCCTTGCTGTGCCAGTCTTCGACTCCTCTCTGAGCACGTCATTTGATGCTGCTCTCCGAACACACTACTTGCTTCTTCACACTGCTCTTGTGAGATATGTGATTACACTGTGTAAACAAGTGTCACTGTGACTGGTTTTAAAAAAGCTAAATGGTCACTAGCTAGGTAGGGAGGATAAGCAGAACTTCTGAGCAGAAAGAGAAAGAAGTAGGAGGAATCAAGATTTGGAGGGTGACACCAGGAAACATGGAGAGGAAACAGGAGGTACCAGATGGAAGAGAGGCAATGCCACATGATAGAACATAGATTATAAAATACAAGGGTTAACTTTTAAGAGCTAGTTAGAAACAAGCCTAAGCTATAGGCTGAGCTTTCATAATCAAATAAGTCCCCATATCATTACTTGGGAAAGAGACTCTTTACATATGGTAACTAACATGGAGGCTCAAATATCCTAACAAAAGGCTTGAGAAAGCTAAGAAAAGTTATGCAAAAGAAGCCTTGCCTCCTAGACAGTCCAGTGCTTGGCGGTATACAGAGGCATGGCTATCAGCTGCTGCCTATGGGCTGGAGGCATTCTGGTGCCATGTGCCAGAACCATGCATTAAGCTGGCACGGCAGTTTTAAGATTTGTCTCATGTAATCAGAAAATACTACAGGTGCTTAGTAAAGCCAGGTCTTGACACAGAAAATCTCTAAAGAGGTACATGTTTAAAAATATGCTTAGGTTGGGTGGTGGTGCTGCATGCCTTTAATCCCACTCCTTGGGATGCAGAGGCAGGTGGATCTCTGTGAGTTCGAGGCCAGCCTGGTCTACAAAATGAGGTCCAGGACAGCCAGAACGGTCACACAGTGAAACCCTGTCTTGAGAAACCAAAAATAAATAAAACAAAAGAAAAAATAAGTAAAACAAAAAAAAGTGTTTAGAAAAAAAGAAAGAAAATGTTACAGTTATAGAAAATAAATTTAAAAATAAAGTCTTTAAAGAGAGTGCATAGGAATATAAAAAAAAAGTCACATAAAGATGGGAAATACACAGGGTTTCTGGATCCTGTATAGAGCTTTGTTGACTTTAATTTTTTTTGTTTTTGTTTTTCCTGACAGGGTTTCTCTGTAGCTTTTTTTTTTTTTTTAATTTTATTTATTATGTATACAATGTTCTGTCTATGTGTATATCTGCAGGCCTGAAGAGGGCACCAGACCCCATTACAGATGGTTGTGAGCCACCATGTGGTTGCTGGGATTTGAACTCAGGACCTCTGGAAGAGCAAGCAATGCTCTTAACCGCTGAGCCATCTCTCCAGCTCCCTCTCTGTAGCTTTTTGAAGCCTGTCCTGGAACTCGATCTGTAGACCAGGCTGGCCTCAAACTCACAGAGATCTGCCTGTCTCTGCCTCCCGAGCGCTGGGATTAAAGGTGTGCACCACCACTGCCCGGTGACTTTAATTTTCTTATATGCTAATGAACAAAAAGCAATAGCTGCTGAGAGACACTGGATTATGAAAACTGCTAAATTAAACCAATCTATATATTTTAATAATGTCTTAACTTCAGAATGGAGGTCAACAAAATGTGTTGCACTGGAGATAGGTTATGCCTTTGTTTCCATAAAAAACAAGTTATTGTTGTCTTCAAAATTAATAAAAATCAGATTTGATTGGGGAAGATCATCTGAAAATCTTAGCTATAGACATGAGGAAAGAAACCAAGAAAGACAACAGGATAAAGGACATATATGCTGATCCCTCTACTATGGGAACAGCTCTGAGACTGGATGAGACATGATAGATCTTGCTGGCTACAGAATCGTGACTTATTATTACATGCCATCCTTTCAGGACATGGATGGAGACTTATAGTTTGATTATATAGTCCAAAAGATTCATAAAATTGACAGATGCCTTTTACCTGCTCAAACAGAACAGAAAATCACCTTTAGCTGATTAACACATTTCCATACTTGTGTTAATGCATGTGTGTGTACATATATGTTATACATGTATATATATAACCTTTAAAAGTTTGAAGGTTTTCAGACCCAAAAAAAAAAAAAAAGACCAAACACCAATGAGGACAAGGAGTCCAGGGGAGCCAACTTCTCAAAATGCCTGCTGGTTTCCTCAAACTTCTGTATCCAGATCCACTTCAAAGCTGCCAGTTGAGACAGTCCAGCCTCAAACACTACTCTAGCCAGGACTTCAGGAAAGCCCTACACTTTCCCATCACAGAGACTAAACAAACAAACAAAAAATACAGCTAGCTCTCCCAGGACTTGATTACTTCCCAATTTTCTCAGATTCCCTAAAGATGCCGTCATCTACAAACAACAGGAAACAGTCTACAGAATCTAGGGTGGGTGGTCTTTGGTCATTTGGTGGATATGGAAGCTTATCATTGGTTACTAGTTTTTTATTGGTCATGGTCAGGAAAAAAGCTGAACAAAGATTAGATTCAGGGATCTCAGAAGGGAAAAGGGGTGATATAGTATAGAAGTGATATAAAAAAAGGATAGATTGTTGAGTCTACTTTTGAATTAAAAAATAACTGGTAGGGTGGCTGGAGAGATGGCTCAGTGGTTAAGACCTTTGCCTGCTCTTCCAAAGGTCGTGAGTTCAATTCTCAGCAACCACATGTGCTCACAACCACCTGTAATGAGATTTGGTGCCCTCTTCTGGCCTGCAGGGATACACTAAATACATAATAAATACATCATAAATAAATAAAGAGAAAGACAATAAGTTTAAAAAAATAACTGGTAGTCTCAAATATTTTACATTGGTATAGATTTTGGTATAGCAATACAAATTTAAGGTTTTTTGCTATATATTTCTTCTTTTGTTTGAGGTATTGTACCTATTCAGCTCTTTTAACAATGTAACTTTGGCTGGGCAGTGGTGGCACATGCCTTTAATCCCAGCACTAGGGAGCTGGCTGGTAGGACAGAGAAAGACTCCTTACACACTTGATATTGCTCTCTGGACACTGCTTGCTCCTTCCCACTGCACTAGCCGCTCCTCTCTGGACACACTGCTCATGCTTCACCACATTTCTACTTATTTACCATCTTCCCTGACCATTATGGATCACTGTCTAGTTACTAAACTAGACTGAGGCAATTCTTCAGTTAGTTAAGTAATCAAGATTATAATTTTAAAGTTATTTTATTTTTAGTTATGTATATATGTGCATCTGCATATGTTTGTGTACACATGAGTACAATGCCCATGGAGTCCAGAAGAGAGTACTGGATCTTGTGATGCTGGAATTATAGACAGTTGTGAGCAGCTTGACATTGGTTTTGATGATGCAACTTAGGTCCTCTGGAAGAGCAGCAAGTGTTCTTAATCACAGAACCTTCTCTCCAGAAAACCCTCTAAATTATATTGCTAAATATTATTCACATTTTTGTATTAATGCAATTATTTGAATTAATCATTGTACATGCTTACTAAAATCAATTAAGCACTCAAATAGATCATATACAATATAAAAAATTACTTCATACTATTGAGTTTACCAAAAGTAATGTTGATATTTTAAATGTTCACATACATGTATTTATTTATTGTTAATTATATGTATCCCTGTGTAGATATGTCATAGGGATGGGAAATATTGGATCCCCCAAGAGTTGGAGTTATAGGCAGTTGTAAAACAATGGACATGGGTGCTAGGAACCAAACTTGGATCCTCTGCAAGAGCAGCACAAACTCTTAACTGCTAAGCCATCTCTCTAGCCCCTTAACTATTTATATCATCCAGAAGTATATGGTATTTTTAATTGGGTACATAGCTTGGTGTGGTGATGGTGCATGTTTTTGATCCCAGCACTTGGGAGGCAGAGGCAGGTGGAATTCTTGTGATTTCAAGGCCAGCCTGGTCTACACAAGTTCCAGGACAGCCAGAGCTCACAAAATGAAACCCTGTTTTGGGGTGGTGGTGGGGTGGTGGTAAGAGGTATTTAGCTGGCTGGGTGTGGTGGCACATACCTGTAATCCCATAACTTAGAAGGCAGAGGCAGGAGTTCAAATTCAGGACAGCTAGAGCTACTGCTTCAAAACACAAACGGAACGTTCTAATAATATAAAAGGATTTTTTGATAGACTAGGAAGGCATTGTTTCTTCTATTTAGAGTATCAGAGTATGTTTAAAATTTTGCTATTCAGCTATTTTCTGATATGAAATATACACAGGCAACAAGGGGTCCAGTTACAGTGAAAAGAGAATTGTAGAAGAGAATTTGGTTTTGGATGCACCATGTTATAACAATTCATATTTTTTTTTTTTTTTTATGAACCAATGGTGTAGGAGAGTCTTTCTATGTGTTGCTTTCATTGGTTGAATAAAGAAAACTGCCTTGGCCTTTTGATAGGGCAGCCCTTAAGTGGGCAGAGTAGACAGAACAGAATGCTGGGAAGAAGGGAAGTGTGGCAGATGCCAAGATTCTCCTTCAGGAGACAGACGCTGGTTAGACTCTTGCCGGTAAGCCACAGTCAAGTAGCAATACACATTAATAGAAATGAGTTAATCAAGAAGTGAGAGTTTAACAATGTAATTTTTGCTGGGCAGTGGTGGCACATGCTACAAACCAAGATGAAAATGTGCTCGAAATTTAAGAATTACTTTTAAGGGGCTGGAGAGATGGCTCAGAGGTTAAGAGCATTGCCTGCTCTTCCAAAGGTTCTGAGTTCAATTCCCAGCAACCACATGGTGGCTCACAACCATCTGTAATGGGGTCTGGTGCCCTCTTCTGGCCTGCAGGCATACACACAGACAAAATATTATATACATAATAAATAAATATATTTAAAAAAAAAGATTTACTTTTAATTCTTCTCTCTGCAATCGGTTGCTATTTCTCTTGCCCATTCTGCAGTGTGTAATTGATGTTTATCTTTCATACTTGAAATCAAGCCCTTGTCTGTGACCAGGCCGCCTTGCTCTCACTTGTGCTTCCACCATGTCCCCCAACTTCCCAATTTTGAAGATTTTCTTTGACATTACTTAAAATAATCATTGTTGGGGCTGGAGAGATGGCTCAGCAGTTAAGAGCACTGGTTGCCCTTCCAGAGGACCTGAGTTCAATTACCAACAACCACAAGGTGGCTCATAACCATCTATAGTGGGATCTGATGTCCTCTTTTGGCATAAAGTTGTAAACACAGATAAATAAGAAAAAAATCATTGCCATCAAGACTTCAAAATAGTGATCAGATTCCCATTTCCTTTTATGGAGGCTGTACACATAAAGCCATCTTTTCCTCTTCTATAATTATGGCCAGTTTTGCCTCATATTTCTGATTTTTATGAATTGTGAATCAGTTGTATGATCCAACCCTTCCTAGGCTAGAAGTCCTTGTTAGAACACACAGTAGGCTTTGTTTGCTTTAGTAATTCATATGCACACATTCCTACGTAGGTTTATTTTCTAGATGTCATAAACTTCCTTTTGGCATACTTTTAAAGTGGTTCCTCATCAGATACCTGAAGGTTATCGGCCTCTTTCTATAAATTTTACTTCCCAGCATCCATACCAAATCTTTTTGTCAGAGTCTCTCAGTTGATTCTTAGGCCTTTATGCAAAGTCTGAATTATTTATAAAATTATTTTTTATCAAGTTCTTTCCAAATTTTATGGTTTCCTCCTTCTTGTCTAACTGTTTGCTCAATAAATATGCGTAACATTTTTAAAAAATTAAATTTATTGAAGGTGGGGTTAGGTATAGAGGTGGGTAGGTAGTGTGTGATTTGGGTGTAGGTGCCAAGGCCCTAGGTTAGAGGTCCGAGGACAACTTTGGGGAGTCAAATTATTTCTTTCTATCATGTGTATCAAAGACAGAACTGAGGTGAAGTTATCTGGCTTGCATGGAAGTGCTTTTACTTGATCAACCATCTTGTTGGCCCGGTAAAACAATGTTAAATAATAATGAGAAGACTTTAAAACTCTTTATACAGGAGTATTTCTATTATTTCACCATTAAAAAGATGACCAGTTTTAGATCAGGGCAGATATTAAGAATGTAAGTAGCTGGGTGGCAGAGGAAAGCAGATCTCTGTGAGTTCAAGGCCAGTCTGGTCTACAGAGCTAGTTCCAGGACAGGCTTCTTCAAGGCTACACAGAAACTCTTCTTGAAAAACAAACAAAACCTTTAAAAAAAGGAAGTATTTCCAGACTGATTTCAGCTTTGAATTTAAGTCAAGAATGAATACATTAAATCAATTATAATGACAATGGAAAATGACCATTAACAAATTCCTTTTAGAGCACAGTGAGGTAGTGCTTGCCTTTAATTCCAGCACTGGGGAGGCAGAAACAGGTGAGTTCTGTTAGTTCAAGACCAGCCAGCACATTTTACATTTTACCTGGCTAACTCCAGGCTAGGCAGGGCTAGAGTAAGATACTGTCTCAAAAACCCCCAAAAGATCTTTTGGTATTTACTATGAGAAGAAAACTTACATTAGATTGTCTTCATTAAAATCTGGCTGAAGAGTCTCCAGAGGAAACAAAGATCCAAAGGCAATGCCCATGTTTAAAAACACAGCTGCTATGTCAGACAACGATGGGATCCAGGGCCAAACTGGTGAGTCACTGAAAGTATCTGGGTAAAACAAGAAATTATTTCAACTCAAAATACTATTGCACAAAGGAACATTGCAAAGTGACAGTCTGCCTGCGACAGTCCTCCTGTGAAGCAGATGATTGCCATTTTTTTCTTCTTTCACTCGTTTTTTTTTGAGACAAGAGTCTCAAATGCCTATGCTAAGATTACAGGCATTTGTTACCATTGTGGTTCTTATGACAATGATTTCACAGAAATGACAGCTGCTAATGGCATGTTAACAATATAGTTAAGGTACATCAAAGACAGTATAATTCACCAGATCATGTGAACTAAATAATACAAAGGAAATACCTGAGTGATCCATCAGAGTGTAAGTCATATGCAAGTAACACGTTTTGAAATGATTAGACACAACACTGGTTAAAATCCTAACTACCATTAACACTAGAAGACTTTATCATATTCAGTAGCCTTATAGTCTTTATCCCTCAAATAAGTGATTGGCTGAATCACAATCCTTCTTGTATTAAAGAGGGCTTTCAAAGGCAAAAAAAGCAACACTCACACAACAGATGGTTTCAATCTGCCTTAGGTCACTATTAACACATACTGTTGTTAATTCATAAGCAAACTAAAATCAACTGGTTAAATCTGAGCCTAGGGGTTTATGCTTGTAATCCTATCACTCAGAAGGTTAAAGTAGGAGGATCAAGAGTTCAAGGCCAGCCCAGGTTACAAAGTTAGTTTGAGATAGCCTCAGCTATATGAGACTGTGTATAACAATAACTAAGCCTAAATAATAATATTTTTTAATTGGGTGCTCTAACGCATAGAAAAGTTTCCAAACATTTCTACTGACCCTATAAAATAACTCACGTGTTAAATATTAAGGGTTGTCATCAGTAAGATCTGGGATCTGTTTCCTCAAAGAACATAGAAAATCAGACACTTGTTTTTGACTGGTATTTCCTTTCTTTCTTTCTTCCTTCCTTCCTTTTTTTTTTTTTTTTTTTTTTTAAAGATGTGTGATTATGGGGCTGGAGAGATGGTTCAGAGGTTAAGAGCACTGACTGCTTTTCCAGAGGGCCTAGGTTCAATTTCCAGCATCCACAATGGCAGCTCATAACTAGAATTCTAGTTCCAAGGGACCCAACACCCATGGCAAAACACCAATGCACATAAAATAAAAATAAATTTACAGAAAAACAATTTTAAAGCTAGGACTATAGGTCAGGTGGAGTGCTTGTTTAGCATTTATGAGGCTCCACATTTAATCTCCAGGATCAGCAAAAATCAAAACAAACAAAAACACAATTCTAACATTAAGCAATATGTAATAAGCAACAGCACATACTACAAATTAGTTTATGTACTCACCATTTCTAATGGTTATTTCCATCAATGTACTTAAAATCTGTACCGACACAATACAATTTGTGTGAACTGACATCATCTGTCAAGAACATAACCAAGTGTTAGAAAGGAAACATGAGTTTATTATTTGCTAGGCTCATATAAAGCTATTTTAAGTATGATGATACAAAGAATGTTATTTTTTTTTAAAAAAAGAGTTTATTTATTATGTATACAATATTCTTTCTGTGTGTATGCCTGCAGGCCAGAAGAGGGCACCAGACCCCATTACAGATGGTTGTGAGCCACCATGTGGTTGCTGGGAATTGAACTCAGGAGTAGGCAATGCTCTTAATCACTGAGCCATCTCGCCAGCCTTAACACAACAACTTAAGAAGGGTTTTCATTTTATGTATAAACAATACTTCACTAATGGGTTATGAGCCATCTCTCCAGCCCCCTGCTTTTTAGTTTTACAACTTCTACTTGTAATTAGGTAAACAGCATTTGAAACTAGAAGTCACTTTTCTGTATGTAGCACCACTCCAAACAAAACATAAAGGAAGGCTAGGAAGATGACTTAGTTGTTGAAGTGTTGGTGAACGAGTGTGAGGACCTGAGTTCTAGCCTTAGTACACACCTAAAACCTAAGTACAGGGCTGGAGAGATGGCTCAGAGGTTAAGAGCACTGGCTGCTCTTCCAGAGGTTCTGAGTTCAATTCCCAGCAACCACATGATGGCTCACAACCATCTGTAATGAGATCTGGTACCTTCTTCTCGCGGGCAGAGATACATGCAAACAGAACACTGTATACATCATTAATAAAAAAAAAATCTTAAAAAACAAAAACAAAAACCAAGTACAGCTGGGTATGGTAGTGAACATCTTTAATCCCAGAATTTGGGAGGCAAAGGCAGGCAGATTTCTCTTGAGTTTGAAGCCAGACTGGTCTTATAGAGCAGTCCATAATATCTAGGGCTAAGTAGTAAGACCTCATCTCAAAATACAAACAAATCCAAGCATAGTGTTATTCATTTGCTTTGTTTTATATTTTATCTGTTACTTTTATGTGTATACCTGTTTTACCTGTCTGTCTGTGGACCACATACATACAGTTCCCATGGAGGCCAAAGGAGGGCATCAGATCCCCGGGAACTGGAGTTTAGATAGTTGTGTGCTGCCATGTAGGTGCTGGGAATTTAATCTAGGACCTATGGAAGAACAGCTGCTGCTCTTAACCACTGAGCCATCTCTCCAGCGGGGTGGCATGCATTCGTAATTCCCAGCTTTGGGAAACTGAGACACAAGGATTCTGGAGCTCTCTGGTCACCCAGTCTAGCCAATAAGTGAGCTACAGACTCAGCACAAAACTCTGTCTCAAAAATAAAATGGAGAGCAACTGAGGACACCCATGTCAACTCCTAGCCAACACATGAGTGCACGCGTGCACATACACACATACCCTTTAACTCCCACTCCCCAAACCATAAAGACACTGCTCCTAAGATCATAGGTAAAAATCACACAGGGCTGGAAGATAGTTTAGTTGGTAAAATGTTTCCTGTGCAAGAAGAGGACCTGAGGTCAATTGCCAGAATCTATTTTTTTTTTTAAAACAACAACAACAACAAAAAAATCCATCTAATCACAATGCTAATGAGGCAGAGAGGTGAATTCCTGGGGCTTGTTGGATGTGGTGATTTAAATGAAAATGGCCCTTATAGGCTCATAGGGAATGCCACTATTAGGAGGTGTGGCCTTGACGGAGAAAGTGTGATACTGGGTATAGGCTTTGAGGTTTTATTTTTTAAATATTCATTTATTTACTATGTATACAATATTCTGTCTGTATGTCTGCAGGCCAGAAGAGGGCACCAGACACCATTACAGATGGTTGTGAGCCACCATGTGGTTGCTGGGAATTGAACTCAAGACCTTTGGAAGAGCAGGCAATGCTCTTAACCACTGAGCCATCTCTCCTGCCCCCAGCTTTGAGGTTTTTAGAAGCTCAAGCCAGGCCCAGTGTCACTCTCTCCTCCTGCTGCCTGCTGATCCAGACATAGAATTCTCAGCTCCTCCAACCTGTGTGGCCACATTTCCCACCATGATGATAATGGATTAAAGTTCTGAACTATAAGTTAGTCTCAATTAAATATTTTCCTTTATAAGAGTTGCTGTGGTCATGGTGCCTCATCACAGCAATAAAACCCTAATGAAGACATTAGCCATGTAGCCTAGCTTACACAGCAAGTCCAGGCCAATAAGAGACCCTTTTTCTCGAAGAACAAAGTGGGTGGTGCTTAGGAAAAAACATCCAAGGTTGACCCCTGACCTCTAAATTTAAGCAGACATGGGAAAATCAAATTACAAATTAATTATCAAAGTTAAAAATAATACAGTCATACATTTTTAATTAGGGAGAGGACTTGAATCTGAATCTTAAGTAGCCCCAGATGTATCTATGTATTTTAGCTATGTATCTAAATCTGACCTTAACTTTTGATCCTCTTGTTTCTATCTCCTAAGTGCTAGGTGTATGGATGGCACTACCATACCTAGTCACTCTCTAACTGTTCTTTATAAGGGAAGAAGGACTTTTCTTGGCTTAGGGTTTTAGGGAATCACCCTACCACAGTAGAGAAGAGACAGGATAGGTGTATGGTCACACTGCACCTACACTCATGAAACAGCATTCACTAATAATTGATTTTTGAAACAGGGTCTCATGTTGCTCAGGCTCAAATAAGCCTAAAGACAGACCATAGGGTCTCTCACTGAACCTGGAGTGCACTATTTCTCCTAGATTGGGCAGTCAGCAACTCCCGTTCCCTGCTTTACTGGCCCCTACCCTCTCCATGGCACTGCTGGGATTACAATGTGCACAGTTTTTATGTGACTGCTGGGATTTGAATTTATGTCCTCATGCTTGTGAAGGAAGCATTTTACCCACTAAGCCATCTTCCCAGGCCCAACTAAGGTACCTTTAAGAAGATATTCAGTTGTCATCAGAGACACAAGGAAGAACAGTAACTAGGTATTAGCTGCCTTCAAGGACAGGACAGCTGGGTAGTGGTGGCTCACGCCTTTAAACCCCTGCACTTGGGATGCAGAGGCAGATGGATCACTGAATTCAAGGCTAGCATGGTCTACAGAGCAAGTTCCAGAAGCCAGGGCTACACAGAGAAAACCTGTCTCGAAAAACTAAAAAAACAAAACAAAAAAACTTTATTAACCACCTTCCATTAAAAAAATAAAAATTCTTTCTTATATTTTCCATAGCTATCTTAGTCTTCTCAACTTTTCTTCACCATACTTGACCCTTAAAAATAAATTACTGGGTGCTCGCTTCGGCAGCACATATACTAAAAATAAATTACTGGGCCGGGCGGTGGTGGCGCACGCCTTTAATCCCAGCACTTGGGAGGCAGAGGCAGGCGGATCTCTGTGAGTTCTAGACCAGCCTGGTCTACAAGAGCTAGTTCCAGGACAGGCTCCAAAACCACAGAGAAACCCTGCCTCGAAAAAAATCAAAATAAATAAATAAATAAATTACTGGGGGCTGGAGAGATGGATCAGCGGTTAAGAGCATTGCCTGCTCTTCCAAAGGTCCTGAGTTCAATTCCCAGCAACCACATGGTGGCTCACAACCATCTGTAATGAGGTCTGGTGCCCTCTTCTGGCCTCCAGGCATATACACAGACAGAATATTGTATACATAATAAATAAATAATTAAAAAAATAAATTACTGTACACTCACATTTCCCCCTACTTTTTCCGTGTTAGAATGTGGGCTTCATGTGCTATTCATCCAGTACCTGACAGAGCTGATATTAAAAAATACCAACCCCATGGAAAAACTGAACATGAGTATTCTAGAATGTCTAATTCTTGCCAAACATAAGATTCCTTGACATGCTCTCAAAACCCAGAGTAGAAATGTTGTTTCCCCTACATCTAAGTTCATATGTGTGGTCATGTGAATGAAAATGGCCTTCATAGGCTCGTAGGGAGTGGCACTATTAGGAGGTATGTCCTTGTTGGAAGAAGCTTGTCACTGGGGCTGGGCTTGGAGGTTTCAGATGACCAAGACAAGCCCAGGGTCACTCTTCCTGCTGCCTGCCAATCCAGATGTAGAACACTCAACTACCTCTCCAGCATCAAGTCTGTCTACATAACGCCATACTCCCCAGCATGACAATTATGGGCTAAAGCTCTGAACTGTAAGCCAGTCCCAATTAAGTGTTTTCCTTTAAAAGAGTTAACCATGGTCATGGTCTCTTAGAAACCCTAACTAAGACAACATGTAATGGAGTTTTCTGATACCAATAGTACAAAAGCAGCCAGTGCTTGAAACTGCTGACTCATTCTCCCAGGCCATCCAATAATAGGTAAGGTAGATCTCTTTGAGTTGGAGGCCTGGTCTACATAGTGAATTCCAGGCCAGTGAGGGCTACATAATAAGACTGTCTTTAAAAGAAGATTGGATTTCTAGGACAAGACTTTTGTGTGTATGTACATGAAGGCATAATCACCCACACAGGCCCCATTAGGACAAAGGTCAACACTGGCTATCTTCCTGTATGACTCTGGGGTGTGTAGAGAACAAATGTATGTCACAGTAAGCCAGCAGAGGTCAGAGAACAACCTCTGGAGCCTGCTGTCTCCTACCATATGGGTTCTAGACACTGCATCTAGGTTGCCAGGCTTGGAGGCAAGCACCCTTATGGAATGAGACATCTTGCCCAGCCCACTTCTTTTTACTTTTTGAGAAAGAGTCTCTTGCTGAACCTGAAGCTTGATTCAGCTAGAACAGCTGGCCAGTGAGCCCCCAGGATTTCCCTGTATCCACTTCCAGCTCTGGAGCTGCAGACATGTGCTGTCACTCCTGGCTAGCACACTTGTCCTAAGAACTTGGGCCTCTTGTGCTTATCCAGGAAGATTTTATGTATTGAGACATCTCCCCTGCCAGTAGTGTAAAACATCCCTTTATACTTAAAAACTGTTTACTCCTATTATTTTCTATACATCCAGAATTTTATTAAAATAAAATACTCTAATAGCCTGAAAAAAGGTGACATGAATCTTGTCCTTGAAAGGAGAATAATGGCCTCGCAGCTCTGTCAAAATATACTGCATTAAATCCTGAATTACTGTCTTCTTGATATGTCAAGAGTAATAAACATCTACATTCCTGGCCAACATATCTAGAGGAATACCAAAGCAATACATAAAATCAACACCACTTAAATAAAACAAAAATTAAGAGATAGCTGGGCATGGTGGTGCATGCCTAATCCAACATTTGGGAGGCAGAGGCAGGTAGATCTCTTGTCAGTTTGAGGCTGGTCTGGTCTACAGAGCTAGTTCCAGAACAGTCAGAGCCATACAAAGAGACAGAGAAACCCTGTTTCAAAATACCAGAGAAACAAACAAACAAACAAACAAACAAAAACTCCAAAAAGATATATAAATGTATAAGTGTTAAATGGAGAAGGAAGAGAAACAGTTGGGTTTGCATAAACACACACACACACACACACACACACACACACACACACTGCTAATATGGCTGAGTGCTCTTATAGAGAACTGGAATTAAGTTCCTAGTACCCATGTCTGATGACTCACAGTCACCGGTAATGCCAGCTTAGTGCCACAGGATTTGACACTTCTGGCATCTATAGGAACCTGCACTCACATGTATGTAACCACACATAAACACATATATAAAGAGAGAACATGGCTCTCCCTGCCTTGTTTTATTGCACCCAGAAATTACGGGTGTAATACACTATTATTTTTTTGCTTAAATTTAAAATCTTTCTGCTTAATAATAAAAAATTTTAATTTCATTTATTCATTCATTAATTTAGTGTGTGCATGGGGGTGCGCATATGCTCCATGTGGAGGCCAGAGCACAGCTTTCATGAGGTGGTTCTTTCTTTTCACTATGTGGGGCCTGGGAATTAAACTCAGGTTGTCAGGCTTGAAGTTTATTAATAGGAAATACAGCAGGAACCCATTATAAGCCCCAAACATTCTCTTACCCGAAACAGCCACTTTAACACAGGTACAGGACACTGGACATAGTGGTATGCAGAGGTAAGGAAGCCTTGTGTTGTCAAAAAAATCTGATCTGTTTTTCCTGATCTGGAAACAGAAAATCAGTGACTGTTACCTACGGCAAAACCCTTCTAGCACAAAAGACATTTGATATGATCAGAGAAACAAGTAGGCAAACCTCAGTTAACAGAGGCAGATTCAATACTAACATGGAGCAGGCTCACACATAAGTTGGAATGGTGCCTAGCTGACTCAATCGATGGACTCCACACTCCTCTGCAGACAAAGGTACCAGTCTCAGGACATGGGCTTTTGTCAGTTTAGGGATGAATTTCCCAAAATTTGGCACCAGAATCCACATAGTTTCTACACCTGAAATGTCACACACTAAGATAATCATCCTAGTCTAGGCATTCGGCCGATCGTAGGAGTTGTCCACCCCAAGGTCTGTATTTTGCCGTTCTCAGTGGTACCTGTTTTGAATTTTAGCTGGGCAAATTAAAGTTCACTGAATCAGCAGAAATTAAGCACAGGTTGTATGTGCTTCCTGGGAATCTGAACAGAAAGCCAGCACTATTAATAAGATACTACAAGTGGAGAAAAAACATGGCAAAAACAATACACCAGAACCAGGACTTCCTACATGAAGTAAACAATCTGACTCGTGTTGGTACTCTTGTCATTGATGAACCTTTCTTTTGTGGTACTGGGAATATGTTTTTGGAGACAAGGTCCTGCTTTGTAGCTCATGGTGACTAAACATGCTGACTTCCTGCTGCAGAATGTGCCACTACTTCTGACTTATGTGGTGCTGAAGATCAAATCCAGGGCCATATATATGAGACATAATCACTCTACCAAATGAGCTACAGCCCAGCCATCACACATTCATTTTAATCTTAGCTGATAAAAAAAGTAACGATGTACCATGCTTAAAGCTTTTGGCTTTACTTCTAGCACTGTAAACAAAAAGAAAAATCCATGTTGATGTGGTGTTAATACCAGCACTCAGGAGGCAGAGGCAGGCTCTTCTACTAGTTCCCTAGCCAGAGCTTTTTTTTTTTTTAATTTTTATTTATTTATTTTTTAAAAGATTTTTTTAATATTTATTTATTAAGCATACCATATTCTGTCTGTGTGTATTCCTGCAGGCCAGAAGAGGGCACCAGACCTCATTACAGATGGTTGTGAGTCACCATGTGGTTGCCGGGAATTGAACTCAGGACCTTTGGAAGAGCAGGCAACGCTCTTAACCACTGAGCCATCTCTCCAGCCCTAATTTTTATTTTTTTAAAGACAGGGTTTCTCTGTGTAGCTTTGGAGCCTGTCCTAGAACTTAGTCTGTAGACCAGGCTGGCCTCAAATTCACAGAGATCCATCTGCTCTGCCTCCCGAATGCTGGGACTAAAGGTGCACACTACCTTTAGTCTTAGTCCCAGCCAATCAGAAGCTTTTAAGAACAACTTTTAAGAAAAGATTTTAGTTTATGTGTATGGGTGTTAGCTTTTGTGATGGTTATTTTTGGCTAGAATTAACTAAAACCCAAATGGCTGGGCACACATGTGAGGGATTTTTTTTTTTTTAATTAAGTCATTTTAAGTGTGAAATTCTCCATACCCCCCTCTTTTTTTTTTGAGACAAGGTTTCTCTGTGTAATCCTGGCTGTGTTAGAACTAGCTCTATAGACCAGGCTGGCCTCGAACTCACAGAGACACCTGCCTCTGTCTCCTGAGTGCTGGGATTAAAGGTGTGCACCACCACAGCGTAGCTTGGGAAGACCCATTTCTAACCTGGATCTTTGAGGTGGGAATCTGGGCCACATCTTCTGCTGGCAGCCTATGTAAAGACCATGGAAGGAGGAAGGCTATTGCTCTTTTTTGCTTGCTTGCTCTGGCTCTCGATCTCCCTAGCAAGTTCATTCACTCACTGGCATTAGAGACTACTTATTCTGGATTCCAGCACACACTGAAGACCAGATTATACATTCAACCTTGTGGATTGAACAACTAGATTTTCAGACCTTTCCTTGGTGGACCACAGCCTGTAAATCATAATAAGTTCCCTTTCTTTTTTTTTTGGTTTTTCGAGACAGGGTTTCTCGAGACAGGGTTTCTCTGTGGTTTTGGAGCCTGCCCTGGAACTAGCTCTTGTAGACCAGGCTGGTCTCGAACTCACAGAGATCCACCTGCAATAAGTCCCCTTTCAATACATAAAGATAAGTCTATGAATTCTGTTCCTCTAGAGCAGTAGTTCTCAACTTTCCTACTGCTGTGACCCTTTAATACAGTTCCTCATGCTGTGCTGATCCCCAACCACAGTTACTTTTGTTACTTCTGCTGCTGCTACTTCATAACTGTGATTTTGCTACTGTTAAAAATCGTAATGCAAATATCTGTATTTTCCAGTGGTCATTCCAGCCCTAGAGGGGTTGAGACCTACAGGTTGAATGCTCCAGAGAACCCTGATTAATAGCCCTGCATGCATATATGTGCACCACCTATGCCTGATACCCACAAGGGTCAGAAGCCTGTCAGATTCCCTGGAACTGGAGTTATGGATAGTTGTGAGCCATCAACATGAGCCTGGGTCGTCTACAAGAGCAGTGTTATTTTATTTTTCTTTTCCAAGACAGGATTTCTCTATGTAGCCCTGACCATCCTGGAACTCACTCTGTAGACTAGGCTGGCCTTAAACTCAGAGATCCATTTGCCAGCCTCTGCCTCCTGAGTGCTGGGATTAAGGGCATGCACCGCCACCACCCCACAATAAGTGTAATTAACCAATGAGCCGTCTCTCCAGCCCTCAGAACAATTTTTTTATACAGAAAAAAAAAAAAACAAAATGTTTGTGATTTACTTACTTGAGAATAAGCTTTTCCACAGCACTTTCTCCGATAAAACCAGAGTCTCTTAAATCTAAGGTATACTGATTGAAAATTTTTCCAGAATTGAGAAAATTAAATATTTCTTCACCTGGATGATGATCAGGAATAGCATCAATTGTAACTGAAAATTTCTTTAGAAATTCCCTGAAACACAAAGACCATTGAATAGTGAAGAGTTAGGACACAAATGGTTTTGTATTTAAAAAACGAAGGCAGTCAGTGGGGCAATAGTGGAGCACACCTGTGATCCCAATACTCCCTAGGGAGAGGCAGGCAGATTTCTGTGAGTTCAAGGCCAGACCGGTCTACAGGACAGCCAAGGCAACACAGAAAAGCCCTGTCTCAAAAAGAATGTTTTGTCCTCTTTAAAGCTCACAGTGAACACCACTGATAAAGATTTATCATGTACCTTGTGGGGTATTTTTAATTTATTTTTTTGTTTGTCAAGACAGGGTTTCTCTGTGTAGGTCTGGCTATCCTGGAACTCACTCTGTGGATCAGGCTGGCCTCTAACTTAGAACCCAGAGATCTGCCTGCCTCTGCCTCCCAAGAACTGGAACCAAAGGCTTGCACCACCATTGCCTGCATGCCTTGGTTTAAATGTTTGCCTTCCAACAAAACCCAAGTGTATCTCAGTCACTGGGCAGCCAGCCATCAGTGGCCCAGCTGTTTCATAAAAGTCAAATTAAAAAATGATTAATAGGACTAGATGCTTATAGATGGTGTGAAAAGACACTACCTGTGTTCTTCCAAGAGGCCATCCTCATCATCTGTACTGTCCTGGTCACCAATTCTGATAGGAGATTTAATGCCCCGGCCTTGTCTTATGTCTTCCTGTAGCTGCTTCTGCAGTTCATCTAACCTGAAAATTAAAAGAATGTACTAATAAATTATTTATATTAACTTACTTTTGAGACTGGTTCTCTCCATGTAGTCTTAGAACTCTCTATAGATCCGCCTGCCTCTGCCTCCTGAGTGCTAAGAGTAAAAGCATGCACACCAGGCCAGTCTTATGACTTTTTAAAAAAGACAACCAGAGCCGGCACTTGGTCTACGGAGCTAGTTCCAGGACAGTCAAGGGTACACAAAGAAACCCTGTCTTGTAAAACCAAGCAAACAAACAAACAAATGACCACCCCACAAACAAACAAAAACCACAAAAGAAACCCAGATCACTTTAGCTGTTATCTAAAAGTAACCCCAACCAAAAACTCTTACTATATACTCTATTTTAAACAAATTCTGTTAGAATACAGGGTAAATCATATCTCCACAAAACATTATACTATTTTAAAGAATGCTACTTTATGGGTATGTGTTTTGCCTACATGCATGTCTGTGAATCACGTGCACGCAGTGCCCATAGAGGCCAGAAGAGGGTGTTGATCTCCTGGCACTGGAGTCACAAATGGTGAGCCATCATGTGGGTGCTGGGAATCAAACCTGGGTCCTCTGGAAGAGCAACCAATACTCTTAGTCACTGAGCCATCTTTCTAGCCCCTTGAATATTTCTTTACAGCTAGAAATTTAAGAATGATCTGTCCAGCCGGGCGATGGTGGCGCACGCCTTTAGTCCCAGCACTCTGGATGCAGAGGCAGGCGGATCTCTGTGAGTTCGAGACCAGCCTGGCCTACTGAGCTAGTTCCAGGACAGGCTCCAAAGCCACAGAGAAACCCTGTCTCGAAAAACAAAACAAAAAAACAAAAAGAATGATCTGTCCAAACCAGAGAACAGAAAAAGAAAAATGGTAAATAATGATCAAATTTGATTATCTTCTCTAATCTTTAATACTCACTGACGTCTTGCAGACCAACATCCTGATACGTCATCTTCACCACACCTAACACTGAGCACTTACTACGGCACACTTAAACATGAACTCTTGGTGAGACTAAAGGAAAATAAGCAATCAATAAACTTACTGTTCTATCACAACTGATGGGTCAATCATCACACCAAATGTTACTTCTGTCTTTGGTCTGAGAAAGATATTCCTACTACCATTGTGTCTGTACATGTGTGTACATATCTAGGTCTTGTGATATATCCTAGGCTGGCCTTACCCTTGAGATCTTCCTGCCTCCCTCCACTTACGTGTTATTACTGGTGTGTACCACCACATGTATCAATGCTTAATTTTAAACATTTCTCTAAATTCAGAGGCAAAAACTTTTAACCTAAATGTCTGAAATTTTTCTATAGTTATTTATATATTTAACAAGTTTGAGACTTGTATATATTAACTTTTATATAATGTAGGCAGTTAAGACTTACTTTTAAAGTGACTTAAAATTGATTTTGAAACTGGGAGTGGTAGCTCATGCCTTTAATCCCAGTCCTTAGATCTGTGAGTTCGAGGCCACTGAGCCATCTCACCTACTCCAGTCGGCTAAACTTTAAATGAAGTTTTGTAGGCTCGTTTTATGGGTAGTCTTTGAATAAATAAGGCATGTTATTCACATTAGCAATAAGTCTGTAACAAGTCACATAATTTTTAATTTAAAGTTTAATTTATATATGTGTGCCACCCGTGTGTGTTTTTCCATAGAGACCAGAAGAGGGTGTTGGAGTTCCTGAAGGTGGTTGTGAGCTACCAGACATGGGTTTTGAAAAACAAAACCAGTCCTGTTGGAAGAGCAGCAAGTATTCTTAGCCAGTGATCCTTATCTCCAGGTCCATTGTTTAAAATTTTTATTTACTTCTTAATTTTTAAAATTATATTTAAGCCAGACATAGTGGCACATGCCTTTAATCCCAACATGCAGGAGGCTGTGGCAGGCAGATCTCTCTGTGAATCTGAGTATATAGTGAATTCCAGGACAGCCAGAAATACATAATGAGACCCTGTGTCAAAAAACAAAAACCAAACAAAATTATATTTATTTGCATGTGTACATGTGCATGTGTGTATGCATACTAGGTTTGTATATAGGCTGGAGGATAACTCAACAGTCAGTCCTCTCCTTTAACTGTAAGTCTCAGGGACTGAAATCTGGATGTCAAGCTCAGCAGCAAGTGCTGTTACTCATTATTCACTGAGATAGACACTGAACTCATGGCACTCTTCTTGCCTTAGTCTCCCAAGTTCCTGAATTCCAACAACTGCCACTATATTCAGCTGGTCACATAAATTTCATTAGGGAAATTATGACCCTCAATTTTTAGAGGTACATAAAGTGGGCTGCTTATTATCATTTTGAACTATTCCTTCAAAGAGTAACATGATATAGGAATAAATGTACAGTTTATCTTGGTTTCAAATTTTATACTTAATGTTGGGCATGGTGTACACACCTGAAAACCCAGAATTTGGGCAAACTAGGAGAAGAATCCAAACTTTGTGGCCAGCCGTAGCAACATATTGAGATCATGCCTAAGCAAATAACCCTTCCCCCAACCCAAGAAAACAGTATCAAAAATGCTTGAAATTGGTAAACATGAAAAAAATGTTTTTTTTTTTCAAATTTTATTTCTGCCAGTGGTAGTGGCGGAGGCACACACCATTAATCCCAGCACTCAGGAGGAAGAGGCAGGGGATCGCTGTGAGTCTGGTCTACAAAGTAAGCTTCAGTCAGAGCTATAGAGAAACCCTGACTCTAGAAAACAAAATGAACAAACAAACAAACCCCCAAAATAAATAAAATAAAGGTTCTTTATTCAAAATAGTTTATACCATATTATACGAAAACTGAGTTTTTTCAGAGTTAAATGATGCTAAATTTTAAAAAACTATGGAAAGCTTCATAGATCTGTATGTCATCCTTACACAGGAGCCGTGTTAACCTTCTCTGTATTGTTCCAATGTGCTGCCGGGTGGTGGTGGCGGCGTACGCCTTTAATCCCAGCACTCGGGAGGCAGAGGCAGGTGGATCTCTGTGAATTCGAGGCCAGCCTGGTCTACATGAGCTGGTTCCAGGTCAGGTTCCAAAGTCACAGACAGACAGAGAAACCCTGTCTTGGAAAAAAAAAAAAAAAAGCCAATCACACAATAGATTTAAAATGTCAGTCAAAATCATAATGAGAAATACTCCTTCACGCTGGCTGGTACGTAAAATGCTGTGGTTGCTGTGGTGGCTCTCCCAAATCCCAATAATCACCTCATGATTCACGAAGTCCACATGTGGGTATAGACCCAAAATACCCGAAAGGAGGTACACACATTATCATAACATTTTTCCTCCCACAACAGCCAAATAGTGGATACTGCCCAAGTGACCATTCATTAATGGATAAGTGAATAAAATGTGGCATGTATTTAAGACAGACTAGCTAACCTTAAAAAGGAAATTCTAACCCAATCTTCACTACAAACAAGACATTATGCTAAGTACAATATTCCTGATCTAACAAGGAAACTACTAAATAATCTCACATGACATATCCAGAGTAGTTAACTTCATAGAAACAGGAAGAAAGAGAAAAATGGTGGCTTGCCAAAGGCAGGGAGGAAAAGCCGAATGGTAATTGACATGGAGTTTCAGTTGAGAAGACGAAGAACATTCTGGAGCTAGGAGGTGGTGATGATGGCTACACTGATGTTAGTGTGCTAAACTAAACGGAATGAGGGCTATGGTGATGGCTGCTGAGTAAGCACTCACCACACAAGCATCAGGACCTGAGTCTGAATTCTCAGAACCCACATAAAAGCTGGATGCATATGCCAGGCTTGGTACTGTGCACTCCTAATCCAGAACCCAGTAGGCAGAGGTAAGCAGAATTCTGTAAATTTGAAGGCAGCCAGGGCTACCCAGTGAGACTCTTATCTCAAAAAAAGAAAAAAAAAAAAAAGACAGAAAGGGGGGGGCACGGCAATGGATGCATAGCTTAAGTGTCTGCAATCCCAGTGTGTAGACAAGGAGATGGGTGGCGGAGACAGGAGACTCCCTGGAGCTCACGGTCAGCTGGCCTCAACACTATGGAAGGAGTCGTCAGAGCTTCACATGCAGGCCACAGCAAACACACACTAGCACTTTCATGCGCACACACAATAAAAATAGGTTCTACCCATGCTTTTCCTCAAGGATATCAGTTAAGACACTGTTATAACAAGCAAAAAGGAATTTATAATGATGCAATACAAGGTATACTGTAAAGCCTCTATCTTTTGATATCTCATGAATAAGAGAGCACATCGTATTTCTACAACAGTTGACACTCCTGTAATAAAGGCACTCCTATAAAATGCATGTTAACTTATAGTTCCCTTGGGATTTCTGGTGCTGGAGCCAGAAGTTAGGGCTTTGCACTTGCTTAATAATCACTTACCACTTGAGCTCAATCCCCAGCCCAACATATACTAATTTATCATTTAAGTTAAATAAAGCCAACAACATAAGCAAAGCAGCTTGTTAAATTTAACAGATTATGATTTTAACCAACCTTTGTGTGTCTTCCATCTCCTTTACAAGACGCTCTAAAGTATTTGTATAAGTTCCACTCTGAGAATATTCCTAAAACAAAAAGAAAGTTTAACAAATACTTTTTAACTTATCTTAGTAGAAGAACTGGGATAATAAGTTATTCAAAGTACTAATGACTATTTTCTGTCAGTAACCTGAGTCTGGATGATACCCTTCTTAAAGGAAAAATTTCACCATCATGCTTTAAATCTAGTATTCTGTACTGCAATCTGATTCCAACATCCATTAGGAGGGACACTGCCTGTAAAACCCTGCTAACCTCTGGATCTAAATTCAAACACCCAAGGGCTTTGTGGCATCCCTGACTTTGGTTCTGCATTCTATTTTAGTGAAATCAAACTACCACTAATTTTTAGGTGTTACCATGGAATATTATACCTTCCCCACCAAACTTTACAGAAATCTTAAAATTAATACAGTTTACTCCCAAGATAGAATGAAGCACTTTATAAATAAAATTGCACACCACAATTAACAACATTTCTACACTCTACCTTCATTTACAGCAGTGGTCTCCAAAGCAGGGGGTGTGCAAGGTGATCCATTGGGGTGCAGGAAGAAAATAATAGAACTTCTATTTATATGGAACTTCTATAGAAACTCCAGTAGAACTTAATCTATAGTAACTTCTACGTAACTGCCACAGGAACATACTTAATTGTTCTTTTTCCTTCTAAATTCTGTTTTGTATATACTTTATTTCAAAAGTACACAGTATTATAGTGGTACATGTATAGAATCTGCAAGTTACATTTATATTGGCGTACATGCTTAAAGTTTCCTTTCAATAAAAAAGTACATGTGATCAAAAAAGTTTGGAGACCACTGATTTACAATAATAAAATTGAAGATATGGGGAACTCATTTACCAAAAGAGAAAATGATACCCACGTCAGTCCAATGATGAGTTGTAGTAGTAAACACCGAATTTTAAAATAAGTTAATAATCTATCTTCTTTACTTCATCCTTTCCCCATCAAGTGAAGACAAATGATCACAGAACTACTTACTATGTAGTCTGATGACTGGGACCTGAGGCCTTTGGAAAAGGCAGGAGGCTTTCTTGAAGCTGGCGGAGTCTGGTTGAAGTTCAAAGCCATTATTTCTTCCAGCGATTTTAATGTTTCTTCTTCCTCATCGCTCTCTAAGTTGTAACCTAAACTTTCTTCATCACTATCAAAATCACCCCTGAATTTCCTTGTCAGTGCACTGCTACCTGCATTAGAATTTCCTGAACTCTCTTTATCTGAAGGTGCTGCAGGGCTTGGGACACGCGGCACAACTTCCAAGGCAGCTGGGGGAGACTCTGTAGGAGGGCTGTACTCTGAATGCAAAGATCCCCCAGAACTTTTCCCTGAAGATTCATTAGAAACAGCCTTAATAGTCTTTGCTTTGTGTTCCTTGTGTTTGGAGGATTCTGCAGAATGCCCAGAATGTTCTTTAGAGGAGGAACGCTCTTTATCTTTTTTAGGAACTGGAAGAGTGCAATTTTTAGCATTTAACGGTACTCGAGAGGAAACAGCACTTGGAACATGGGAAAGTAAAGGTAGTTTTGTCTCTTTTGATGGCACAGAGCCAGCTATTTTACTTTTCTGAAGGTTGCTAGCTCTTTTAATTGCAGATTTTTCCTGAGGTAAAGGTAAGTGGGGCTTCTGTATTTTAGTCTCTTTGGTACTTGCTGCGTGGACTTGGTCACTATTCCTGGAAGAATGGTGGCCAGAATTTGAAGGTGCCAAGTCTGCAGAAGAACGCTCTGTTTCATCATCAGGTTCCTTGGCTATATCTTCCAAGCGCAGAACACCACCCGGTGTCTTCAGTGCAATGTGTCTTATAAACTTTTCCTTCTGATGTGATGTGTCTGGACGCTTCTCTAGGAAGGACTCTTTTGCTTTTGGTATGATAGACTCTTTTGTGCTTTTCAGATCTGAGTCCACAGAATTCCTTTTTCTTTTGTCGGAGAGTTTATTCTGCTTAGAGCCTAAAATTAATTTTTGTCACATCAGTGAAAAGCATACTGTTCTGTCTGGCTCAAGCTTATTCACAGAACTCTGATGAAATGTTTAAACTGAAACCATTCACTATGTATATGTGATGAAGAAAGGGAACTGAAAGGGATGCCCAAGAAATTTAGAGCTAAATGACGGGTACTCAAATGTTATTGTTAGTCTATTAAGTTACTATCTTACCAGAGGTATCGCTCCCTAAACCTAAGACTCTGTACACTGGCACTATGGCAGTAAATGAGGGAATTCTAGAGTACTTCTGCTCAAAGTGGACATTCTTTTCAAGCCCCCAAACCACCTGGTTCTAGAATCAAATACTTCAAAAATAAAAGTATGGGGGTTTTAGATTATAAGCAAATATAGGACTAAAAGACAGATAAATCACTTGGGAGGCAGAGGCAAGGGAATCTCTGAGTTTGAAGTCAGCTTGGTCTACATAGTGCTCCAGGACAGGCAAAGCTACAGAGAGAAATCAATCAATCAATCAATCAAACAAACAAACAAATTCTACCTTGCATTGTGGTGTAAACCTACAATCCCAGCAGTAGGGAGTCTGAGGCCCTGAGGCCTGAGGATCATGAATACAAGGTCAGTCTGGACTAGAAGGGGCTGGGGGAATTGGACAGCCCTGTTTTAAAAAACAAAAACATAAAAACACCAAACCAAAAACTAACCCTATAAATAGACTCATCCAAATATTTCCACCTAGTGATTACCACCAATTTTTATGTCCTTCTAGTTTTCAGTTGCTATGGGTTGTGCTGTGTCTCCCCAAATATGGTCAACCACTGACCTTCACTCAAGGATAAGAACTTAACTGGGAACAGGGTCTCCACAGATATACCCAAATTAAAACAAGGTCGATACGAAGGATCAGCTTCCTTACTAAAATAGGAAATTTAGACCCAAATACAGGTATGCCAGAGGGAATACACAAGATACCATGTTACTGAGTGATGACATTTTCAATCAAGGAATACTGAAGCCTACAAGCAAACACCAGAAGCTGTTAGATGTAAAGATGCAGTCTTCCCCGAGTAATCAGGAAGGCCTTTACCAATGTACTAATTTTAGACTTCAACTTTCTACAACTATGAGGTAACAGTTTTTGCTGTTTGAAGCTATGCAAGCTTGGGTACTTTGTTACAGATGCCTGTGTTCTTTAACAACTGCAACCAGAAACACTTCAATAGCTATTTATTTGCTCAACGTTGGAGGTAAATGGCTTTAATCCTATCATTCAGGAGGCAAAGGCAGTTCGAGGCCAGCCTGGTCTATACAGCATGTTCCTGGACAGCCAGGACTATACAGAAAACTTTGTCTAGAAAAAGCAAAATAAAACAAAACAAAAACAATGCAGGAAGAGAAATTAAATGACTAAAAACCAAGGTTGAGGTAGTTAAACAGATTATCTTTTTTGTTTGTTTGTTTGGCTTGTGGAGACGGTTTCTCTGTGTAGCTTTGGAACCTGTCCTGGAAATCAGTCTGTAGACCAGGCCTGCCTCTGTTTCCTTGAGATGTTATTTTAGAAAGGCCTCTTCGTATTTGAAATATTTGGATACTGTTTTAACTTCATACAAAACATTTCTACAGTATACAAGAATGCAAGAATATGCTGATGTTCATTTGTTCTGAGACAGCAACCCACTGTAGCCCAAGTTAGCCCCAAATTTGCAATCCTCTTCCCTCAGCCTACTGAGTGTTAGAATTACAGGTATGTGCCTCTCTCCTAACACCAAAATTATGTTTCTTGATGTAGCCAAGGATTCAGAACACGTTGCTAAAACACACTATTAGGAACTCCTGAGTAAGGCAGAGAGAAATCAAGACAACAAATTATACAGAATAAATTCAGTCACTTTTTTTGAGGTCAGTTCTTACTCAGTATAGTTCAGGCTGGCTACAAGCTCTAGATCCTCATCTCAGCCTCCTGAGGACTTGAACATAAAGATATGTGCCACCATATCTAGCTTGGAATAATATTCTTCTGGGATGTAATTTTATAAAACTCATTATCTGAGACATTTAATTCTAGAAAGGGAAATGAATATTTGAATAAATTTATTTTCAAACTTACTTAGAAATTCTGTTTAAATCTGATGCTACCTACCTGAAAGTTCCCATGAGTCTGAAGATGATCTTTTTCTTGAGAGATGTCCGTTTTCCTATGAGGAAGTAAAAAATATGAACTTACATTTGGACAGACTTCTAGACCAATAAAGCAAGCATCTATACTCAAAGGTAGGTTTTTTTTGTTGTTTTTTTTTTTTTTTTTTTTTAAAGAACTTTAAAGATCTTAAATAAGGATATGGGCTAGTGATGTAGCTCAATGGTACAGTGCTTGTCCAGAGACAGAAGGCCCAAATGCAATACCAAATACACACACACACACTGCCATCTGCATCATAAAATATGCTAAAAAAAATCACAAAAATGAAGTTCATGTTTCATAAGTTAACAGTAATTTATACTCATAACTCAAAAATTAATACAATAGTTGAAAACTATTAGTTTTTTTTTCTTGGTTTTTCTTTTGTTTTTCCAAGACAAGGTTTCTCTGGCTTTGGAGCCTGTCCTGGCACTAGCGCTTGTAGACCAGGCTGGCCTCGAACTCACAGAGATCCGCCTGCCTCTGCCTCCCGAGTGCTGGGATTAAAGGCGTGCGCCACCACTGCCCGGCATGAAAACTATTAGTTTATGGACCAAATATTATATCTACTTATTATTAGCAACATTCATAGTAAATGCACAATCTTATTGCAAAGAGGCCTCTGAATTTACATTATCTTCTAGTAATACACAATGCCAACCAAGATTTCTTTTTATTCACTCCTGGAATGTTAGTTATTTCTGGTTTATCTGATTTGAAGTTTTCATAGCAGCTATCAACTGCACTTCTACGCAATGTTGGGAACTGCAGGGTTCTTATATACTTGTGGGCAAGCACTGAACCAGAGCTGAATTCCTAGTTCTAAATTGTTTTTGTTTTTGAGCAAGGATTAGGTTACAAAGACCAGCATAGTTGATTTTCTAGGGAAGAGTGGAAAGCTCTGATGCTAATCTGAGTCTATATTCTCAAAAGAAAAATGGTAAGAACTAAAAAAATACATGTAGTTTTCTAAGTCATCAACTATGTTTCTAAGACCCATGCCCAATCAAAGATTTATTTATGGGGCTGGAGAAACAGCTCAGCAGTTATGAGTTTTTGTCCTCTTGTAGGACTTGAGTTCTTATTATCCACATCAGGCAGCTCACAACCATCAGGAACTACAACTCCAAGGGATCTGATGGCTTCTTTTGGCCTCTTGAGTACCTTCACATACAGGTTTAAATAAAATAATAAAGATTTATATATATCTGGAACAGTGATTCTTCAACTTTTGGAGTGCATCAGTTATCCTGATGGCTTTAGAACCAAGAACTGATAGGCTCCAACTCCATTGTTTCTCCAAGCAGAGACTGCATTTCTGACAAATTCCCAACTGCTGCTAGTGCTACTACTGCTCCGAGGACATTTTAAGAACCAATGCTCTAAATTGTTCCTTGTTCTTTTATATTTGCCATTCCTTCAGTACTTTTTTTTTTTAAAGATTTATTTATTTATTAAGCATACAATGTACTGCTGGCAAGGAAGGTACCAGGTCTCATTACAGATGGTTGTGAGCCACCATGTGGTTGCTGGGAATTGAACTCGGGACCTCTGGAAGAGCAGCCAGTGCTCTTACCCTCTGAGCCATCTCTCCAGCCCCCCAGTACTTACTTTTGGAAATCGTAACTTAAAAAAAATGACTATACTTTCCACTAGAAATGATCTTTGCTCCTAGTTTGAAAAAATTGGGTAAAGAAATTTACTGAATTCAATGTAGGGGAGGTGGAGGAAACCCAATGAATTCAGTGTCAGCCCAAATTATGTACTGCATTTCCTTAAATGTCACGGATTACTAAGTATCTTTAGACTTAGGATCTAACCATGGTACAGCAGTGGTAAAGCTAACCCAGTAATTACTGTACATACCAGATTTGACAGGTTGCTCTTCCCAGGTACAGCATCATTCTGTTTGCTGTGCTCATGCCTTGGCTTACATTTTTTCCCTATGCTAGAGGATTTTAAGGATGTTTCTGAGAAAGAATTTTCCGAGTTGATTCTCTGCTCCATTTGTTCCTTTCTCAACTTCTTCTGCTCTCGTTCTCGGCAGTAAGAAGCTAATGACAACTGGAACCGAGCTCCCAGGGGGCTTTCTCCTGGGTGGTGCCGGGACAGACTGCTTCTGCTGCTAACACTTCTGGAGCTGTTCTTGAAGATGTCACCTTCTGTCTCTTGGGCCTGCTTTCTGGAGTCTTCATTGGTCTTTCCTTGATCTCTCTCATTCTTCTCCCTGTTACTTTCATGAATGAACAGTGACTTCCTTCTCTCTGGAGACCGGTGTTTTTTCTTTCGTGCCTTCATCTCTTTGGACAATCGATAAGAGGAAGGAGCATACACACCTGCTCCTTTTAGTAAGTATTTGGAGCCTACTGACATACAAGGCTGACGTGACTCATGTACACCATGATCTTTGTGGTGCTCTTTACCACCTTTCATGAAAGCTTCTAAAATAGGACTTTCTTCTGATGACATTCTTTTGGGTTTGGGTTTTTTTGGTGATGATAATTTCCTTTCAAATTGTTCTGTCTCATTGATGGATACTCCATTTCCTCCATATTTGATGTTTGATTTTTGTTGAGAATCCAACATATGTTTGTCTAAAACAGCCACAATTAAAACACATACAAACTGTATGTTATTAAAAATAAACTAACGTTTCTATTACTATTTAACTATCAATTTATAAATTATTGAAGCTACTAAAAAATTCAAGCCAATTAATATTTGGGTAATAAAATACATTTTGGAAGAGAGAGAAATTAAGAAATAGATTTACCTTTTATGAAGTTTACATTCATGAATCCCTTCTGCTACCTCATCTAACCTCCCTATGGCTCCATTTGTGAGCTACTGTATTAGAGAATAAAAATAATATAAACATTGGGAAGCAGAGGCAGACAGATCTATGAGTTTGAGGCCAGCCTGGTCTACAGAGTGAGTTCCAGGACAGCCAGATCTACACAGAGAAACTCTGTCTTGGGAAAAAATTTAAAAACAAAACAAAACAAAACAAAAACACTATAAACTGAATTATTTTAAATGTTAAAAATGCATAACAAATGGCTCAATGTTTATCGCATCTTCATTAAAACTGTACAATTTCCAATTCTGAAGAGTATAATCAAAGTTTGGAGGCCCTCTTCACCTCTAAAACAACCCATCAAAAATACATTAACAACATGCATACCTTGTTTTGAAGCTGGCTTGAAGAAATCTATGATTGATTGTTTCCTGAAAACAAAAGCACAACTAATATGGCATCACAAAATCAAGTATTAAAACATAAATACTTTAGATTAAGTGGTGAATGTTAGATTTACATAATACAGCTGGATTCCACTCTGTGATGTAACTAATCAGGTTCTGACAATAGTAATCATACTTTGCTAAGCCATAAGAAAGTTGAAAATATAACCAATTTTCTCTGTTTATATATACAACTGAGACAATGAAATCAAGAATACTAAAATGGCAAAACTGCAGTGTAAATCTAGGGAAGTGGTGAGTAATGGCGATAGATCATAAACCTTCACAAACTCTTGCAGCAGGAGCAGAGTAACAGATGGGAGAAACAACACCTGGGTTGATTCTAGGGAGGTAGTTGAAAGGAATGTGCAAGGCAAAAGCAGAAAGCATCATTTGAGTCTAAACTAAGCAACAGCAAAAACTAGAATGAGCCACACTGTGTTTCAAATGTTTTTTCTTTTCCTAAATCTAAAATTCCTTAAGATTAGCCAGCAGTAGTGGAGCACACCTTTAATTCAAGCACTCAGGACACAGAAGCAGGTGCATTTGTTTGAGATCAGGCTGGTCTATGTAGTGAATTTTAGGCCAGTGAAATTCATAGTGAATTTCACTATGAAATTACATAGTGAGACCTTGTCTCAGGGGACACCACCCACACACAAACTAAAAAACCATATAAACAAAAACACAAAAGAGTTCAAGGAGCTGAAGAGATGGCTCAGTGTTTAAGACCCTTGCTGTTCTTGCAGAGAAGCGGTTTGGTTATTCACAAATGTCTGACTCCAGCTCCAGGGTATGTAACACCCTCTTCTGGTCTCCTCAGGCACCAGGCACACACATGGTGCAGATATACATGCAGCCAAAACACTCATACACATAAAATAAGTAAAATATTAATAAAACTCTTGAGCATTTTTTAAAAAAAAAAAAACAGCATACTACACAAATGAAAAACAGAAATGTGAAAGTTAACAAGGAAAAAAAAATCTAAAACCAAACTGGTTTAATAATTTTTATGGGTTACTGTGCCCTAACATGGGCACACAACAATTATTACCAAAACCTAAACTCTGACTTACTCTTGCACACTGGGCTGTCAGCTTATAAAAGGGCGATATTACATGTATAGGAAAATTGAGTAAATAACTTACTGAGGGGCTGGAAAGGCTCAGCAGTTAAGAATACTGACTGCTCTTCCAGAGGACCTGGGTTCAATTTCGAGCACCCACATGGCAGCTCACAACTGTCTGTAACTCCAGTTCCAGGGGATCTGACACCCTCACACAGACATACACTCACACAGACATACATGCAGGCAAAACATCAATGAACATGAAATAAAGTAAATAAGTTATAAAAAAATTTATAAAATGTATCCACTTTGCTGATAGCCAGCAGCAGTAGGCTACCAGCATTGTCTCCTCTGTGGATGAACTTGATTACTCAGTGAATGAGCAATCCAAATCCAAGGCTGATGTCCTTTTCTATCTTTTCATTGGTCACATAAGAGTGATGCGCATCATTACTGGCTTACTTAAGACTTGAAAAGTAAGTTGATAGAATCTAAATGGTTCTGACTGAAAGATAAGTTACAGGCTAAAGGAGAATATATACATTTGTTTATAGAAAGTAAATTACGTAAGGTGAATTAACTCCACCACCGAGTAAAGGAAGAAATGCTAGTCTGCAAAGGGAAGACAAGTGATACCCTATTATTGGTAGCTGGAAAGGTGGAAAAGAATCCATAAGCAGCTAATGCAAATCAAAATAATATTACTAGTTCTGCTAAATATAACGCCATATCTCTTCCCTAAAGCATCAAGCCTAATACTCCTCCTAAATACACTAGAAAGAGGGGGGGAAATGGCTTTAGGTAAATCACATAACTATAAATGAAACTTTCTAGGGGTAAAAATAATTGCTTCCTTAAGTTGAATGCACAGAAATGTCCATAACTTCTCTGTAACTGGTTAAAAAGATTATGACAGCCTCACAAACCTTTATCTGAAAGTTCAGGAACCAAACGGGTTAGAATTCTGGATTTACTGGACTTTGGGAAGGAAATAACTTGAATGTATTATATACAGCCCCCAGCATGGTCTGGTGTTGTAACCTGTAGCCAAACATACTAATATTTCTCCAGCAAAGCTTATGACACCAGTAGACAACCTTGCATTAACTCTGGCCAGCCTGCCTCGGCTGCCAAATGAGCTGTGGTAAAAAACTTAATGGAAGCGTTTGTTTTTCATAGCTTTCTGGCATTCAGAAGTAAGATAAAGGGTTGTGAGTCTATGCCACAATACTTTTAAAGCACAAATTTACTTTTAACCGTGTTACTTTTAAAAATTAAAATAAAAAGACAGTACCAAGTTCATAGATAATTTAAGTATGTTTTATTGTCAGAGGATGTCATTTGATGAAATTCTCCATCATTACATAGCTCCCAGAAAATCTTTACAAAGAAAGAGAGAGGAGAGGGGAGAGGGGAGAGGGGAGAGGGGGAGAGGAGGAGAGGAGGAGAGGAGGAGAGGAGGAGAGGAGAGGAGAGGAGAGGAGAGGAGAGGAGAGAGAGAGAGAAGAAAAAATAAAGAGGAAAAGAAAGCTTTCTTGGAGAGGCAGAAAGTTACTCAAGGAGAAAACGGGCACATTACAAAAATTTTTTTAGTATGAATGATCGTGTACACTGTACTATAAAGTAATTCGTGGGTTTTCCTTATCACATCTTACATAATTTCACGCACAGTGTAGAAACCAACAGCATCAGAACGATCTAAATAGATGCATTGAGTAGGGAGGGTCCCAGGTCAAGCTCTCGAAAAGAATAAAAATAACCTTCTACCTAAGCGAGCTCTCCGTAGCTACTGTGGTCACTAAACCAAAAGCAACATCCCAACTACAGAAAAGGAGACTCCAACTCCCAGAAGCCCCGCGCGGAGGCGGGGCAAGGGTTTGCAGGCCCCAGAACATTAAGGCCTGAGCTCGCTGAGGATGGCGGGAACTCAAGAGCAGCCGTCCGCAGTCCTCCCTTCTACCCGTGTCCCCGCGACCCGGCCCCTTCTCAAGCCCCTCTGCACGGTACCTGTCCCCAGGACTTTCTGTTCTTTTTCCCGCTGCAGCAGGGGCGGTACTACCGGGTCTCAGATGGCAGCGCGGGGGCGACGACCCCGGGGCTGGGGATGAGGGGAAACCTGGCCTAGCGGGCATGCAGCGCCTTGTCATGTCGGCGCCGCTGGCGACGGCGGCATGAGCTGTGAATGGAGAAGCTGGTTGCGTGGTTGCCGTCTTGCTGCTGGGACTCGGGGAGGCTGTCGGTGCAGAGGTGGGCGGCACCCCCTACTCTCTTCATGGCGGTTCTCTCTTCGGAAGTGACTCCGGCGTGAGCGGGAAGGAACCCGAGGACCGCCAGGGGGCGGGCCTTACCTAAGGTTCCGCGTCTTGATTGGCTGACCTGGGGGTCACTCTGGTGGTGACCCAATGAAAAGCCTCGTCCTAGAAGGAGCAGGCGGGGGCTTCTGGAAGGAGGAGGGGAGAATGAAAACTGCCCTCCCCAGACCCGTCACGTGCGCCTGAGGCGCGCGCCTCCGCGTCGGGGCCGCGCCGGCCTTGGCGGGTGCGTGGGAGTGGGAAAGGGAAGACTGCGGTGAGTGCTACGACAGCTGGCGACACCCGCCTGATCGAGGGGCAGGGGTGAGGTTTGCAGAAGTAAATCCAAGCCTGCAGCTGTCTGCAGCGAGGTTGTCCAGCAGTTGTCACGATTGTGCTTAAGGAAGTGCACGGCTGCGCTAATATTACATAGTCACTTTAGCATCTTAGGCCAAAGTGCCATAATGCTGTCACCATTTCCTCAGTAATCTGCTCTGTCCATTGTGATTTGGCCGTTCTGTGAGGGATCTTGTATACAATCATATGCTTTTGCCCCTCCCCCCCACTCCACTAAGGGCAGGGTAGGGAGGATACCCAAGCATTGATGTAGATTTTTTTTTTTTTTAATTCTGTAAAAGCGTTTGTCTGTAATGGGTTTCCCTTGAAGTCCCTGCAAATAGACGTTTTGGGGGATTTTTGTACGGATCATTCCTCATTTGTCAAGGGCCGTTGCTTTGAAGGCAACTGGGTTAGTCTGGGTTTTCTTTGTAAGCTGAGAGACTGCTCAGATAGTATTTCTGAGTCTCACACTCCCTGTGTATAGAATGGATATCTTACTTCTCTGGGTAATTTTAAGCCATAAAAAACATCAATGTAAACAGGTTTAAATTCTGTTAAGCAATTGGTACAAATACATGGTTCCCTTTCCTTTGTCCTTCAGACTCCTGAGGACGGTTGCTGTAAGGAAGGCCTGAATCCTAGCACTTGGGAGATTGAAGAGACTGAGGCCGTGGCTATAGTGAGAGTTCAGGGCATAAAGGAACTTGCTTTCACAACCCAGGACCACAGGACAGAAAGAGATAGCTGATGCCATCCAGCAAGTCATCCTGTGACTTTTGTCATCATATACACACACATGAAATAAATATAAGGAAAGAGAGAAATAGCCTAGTGGTGGTGGCACACGCCTTTAATCCCAGAACTCAGAAAGCAGAGGCAGGCAGATCTCTGTGAGTTTGAGGCCAGCCTGGTCTATAGAGCAAATTCCAGGACAGGGCTATACAAAGAAACACTGGAGAGAGAGAGAGAGAAAGAGAGAGAGAGAGATTAAGGTTAGTCTTGACTATGTAGTAAGATCCTGTCTCAAAAGAGCTAAATAAAATATTCCAGTGACTGAAAAATTCCCATTATAATGCTTGTCAATAAACAAAATATCAATCTCAAAGATGTCCAGGATTTAATTAAGAGGAATGTTCCCTCAGTTGGATAGAACAAATTCCTAAATGACACACAAAAAAATTTGAGCAGGTCTTCCAAATTTATTTTACTGAGACTGAATTGCTTCTGTTTCTAAGCACACTAGACTGACCCAAAGTTCACCTCTCTTCTCTTCCCTGGTAGCTCTCAAGAGGAAGAATTAATGAGAATAAAGCGACCAATAAGCTGGCAAAGTAGGAGGTAGGAGGTAAAGAGTAAACATGGGTCTTCCCAGAACACACAGCTGTTTATGGGTAGGAAAGCTGTAAGGACAGAAGTACCAAAATCAATGGCACTTTTCTGCTTCTTATGACAGAGAATTCACTGTGCTGCCTATATGTATTATTTGATACATTTAAAAAAAAGCATAATAGATGCTGAAAATATGTTGAACCTATGTTTATGCCTTTTTCCGTGCATCATTTCCTGTTCCTTGATGTAGTACTTTCTGTTGGCTGTTTCTACACTAGGAAGTCCCTGCTTCCATAACAGCACATCCACAAAACTTTTAAGATGATTCATTTCATTGCATGCTCAGTCCATAAAAAGAATAAAGCATAAAAACACATTCTGCATGATCAATTAGCCGCTTTTCTTGGATTATAGTATTTGAATCATCCAGCCTCCAAACCATCACTTTAAAATCTCTACTCCTGTTGCCAAACAATAGTTTTCACATTTTCTTAATCTGATCAGCAGATTATGAAGTTAAGTGAGGCAAGAAATCCCTTGATCAATAAATGGAGTCATAATGAAAGCACAACTTAAAAAAAAAAATCTCTCCTTAACTGGGAAGTAGTTGCCTAAATCCTCAATAAACATCAAAGCTTTTCTTTGCTTAAGCTGCACAGGAAAAAGATACAGATTTGGGTTGCAGGGTGAGATGCATTCAGCATTACTAACAAATGGGTAGAAACTAAGACGTTCCTTTCCTCCAAAGAGAACTGAACCCCTGTCATGTGTTTATACTCTTCACTTTTCATGTGTACATATACACTATGCACAGACATATATATTCCCAGTCAAGGGTTTCCCCTACCTCTTAGGTTACCGAAGATGAAACTCAGGGTCTCATGCATATGAGGCAAGCACACTGCCACTAAGTTATTCTCAGTTTTGTGAGAGCTTTTTGGTTTGTTTCCTCTTGTACTTTGTAGTGGACTGAAAATAGATAGCCAGGGAACTATAGACTAAAAGCTGTCAAAAGAGCTCTCGTGTGTGCTCTCATAGGGTGACAAGATAGGAGAGAAAACCTGAGATGTGGATGGGGGATGATGAACAGTGTCAGCAAGACTAGGTGAGAGAGCTAACACGGAGAAAATCTGAGAAAGGAAGGCCAGACTGTAAGCGGCTGGTTAGGTACGATTTCTGAGTGTGGGGATAAGGAAGCAAAGGCTCAGAACCTGGAGTGGCTTTTGAAACTTTATTTGTTTGGTTTTCCAGACAGGGGTTTCTCTGTGTACCCCTGGCTGTCCTCAAACTCAATCTGTAGACCAGGTTGGCCTTGGACTCACATATTCGCCTTCCTCTGCCTCCTGACTGCTGGGATTAAAGGCTAAATTATTTATTTTGATGCATGTGAGTATTCTGTCTACGTGTATGTCTGTGTACCACTTGCAAGCCTGCTGCTCAGAGAGGCCAGAAGGCAGCAGTGAACGGCCCTAGAGTCACAGGCAGTTGTGAGCTGCCATGTTGGTGCTGGGAATTGGAGCTCTGGGTCCTCTGGAAGAGCAGCCAGTGCTCTGAACCACTGAGACTTGTCTCTAGCCCTGCCCCTTCCCGCCACCTCCCCTGCCTGTGTATATAAAGTATTTGTGAGCTATCTGGTACTCTAGCAGCAACTCCAGAGTTAGCAGGCTCTGGCACTCATGAGAGGAATGGGAGAGATAGCCAGGGAAAAGTGTCACTAGGGACAGCAAGCTCTGGGAACGTGACTGTCTAAGGGATGCCAGCGAACTCAAGCAGTCACAAAGACTTGTGATCTCACAGAAAACCTCAGCACTCAGGGATTAAGAGAATAATCAGTACATAACACAGACTCGCTAAAAATCTAGAAACATGGAAAGCAACTTCTGGCTTTACAAGAATGGCATGATTTTGTGTTGAGATTGCTCTACTTGGAAATTAACTCCAAGGCTCTCAGAGGGTGCCCAAGGGCAGGCCAAGAGACAAAGATCCATGTGCTGAGGAGAGGGTGGGGGTAGGAGTGTGTGGAGGGTGGTCTGAGAGGGGGGATAAGGAACAGACTCAGAGAAACAGGAAACAATTAACTTGAAAGCCTGACAGAGAAAGACAGACCACATAAGGGTCTCAAGAAGGGAAAGGTGAGCTCACCATGGCTCAAGACACACACACACACACACACACACACACACACACACACACACACAGAGCACCTTTGCAAACAGATGCTGAACGAGACAGGGCTGAGCAAATGATTGGAAAAAAGCACCAGTTTAGCTTCAGGGACCACCTGCGAGGTGCCAAATTTAATATAACGTCACGCAATCCAAACGTCCTAGGAGTAAGGAGTAAAACTGCAAACCCCGCAGCTAAGGACGCCTGTTTCGTGTTATTTCCCTATGGAATGTTTCAAGACAATTTCCCACATACACATGAGAAATATATTCGTGAATTTTAACATATTTAACAATTCTTATACTACTGCTTAGTTACTTCATTCTTTGTCATCTTTGCTGGGGATCAATTTCAGAGCCTTATCCATGCTAGGCAAATGTTCTGCCGTCTAGTTACGTCCCTGACCCTTGCTGTTTTGAGACTGGGCCTCACTGTCTCACTTAACTCACTAGGTAGACCATCTTCCCACAATCCTCCTGCCTCACCTCCTAAGAACAGGGGTTATAAGCATGTGCCATCACAGCCATTTTGACTTTAAGCATGTAACATACATAGTACGTGTACACACACACACACATGTTCTATGGACTTTTTTGTGTGTGTGACATATACCTATGTTGGTGTGTATACATATAGGAGGAAAGAAGAGAGAGTGAGGTCCAAGTTTCTACAGTGGTAGTAGACTTGTCTATCTAAAAGTGTTGGGAATTATTGGTTTTAGAGACTCCGGCCTGCAGTCAGGCATTTCTCACACATGGTTAGTGAGCCCTTAGAAAGTTTTGAAACTGAAGAATTACCAACTGCCCCAGGATGGGGCACAGAGAATGCTAGTGCAGTTCACATGGTATATGAGCTCCAAACTAATTTGAATTACAGATTGTCTTTCCTGAAGACTTGAATGTTAACTTGCTGATAGGGAGAACTTCCTGTACATTTCACTGCATATGGTAGGAAACACTGGTCCTTCTTTTTCTAATAGTGTGTCTTTGCCTTCCTGTACTCTAACACCTTCTAGACAGAGAGGAGCTGATTAACCTCTCTCGGGTCTTCAGTAATCTAGTGCCTGCAAGAGGGATATGGGTGAGAGGGGATAGTTCAAAATGTCCATCATGAAGAACTTGATTTCCCTGGAGCTGTAGAGAGTCTTTTGGGGGTAATAATTTGATCTCAGACCTTTGTACTGCTCTTAGCAGAATTCAACATATTGACTATGATGTATGTGACTTATTTTTATTTCGCAGGTATAGGTATTTTGCCAGTAT